TTCCGTTCGTATGATAATCTGCAGTATTCAATCAATTCAATATGCCAGGCCTAAACCTGTGATTATAAAATACAAAAATAGTGAACTCGAGCATTAACAAGTTGACTGATGCAGCCCAGTCTCCGTACACTGTTAGAAATTGAAATGTTCAATAACGAATAATTTACATGGAATTTCCGTTGATCTCGTTATTGATAAATCAGTCAATTTTCTTGAATATTCAATGAAATTTGGTTTCTCAGGTTCATACGATGAAAATTACTGAAAATCGTGAAAATTCAGGCAACTTTTCTTCTGAATTTGTAATCTCTGGAAAATTCACTTGAATGTAATGCTTAATTTTCGTGTTACGTGTGAAAATCATCGAAAATTCAATGATCATTCATCACGAAAAACTTAATTTTATTGAATTTCCAAGATGAATCAGGAATTCCATGAGCAATTTAATCTGAAATTTAATTCAAGTTCCGAATATTGAAAATTCAAATGCATTTGTTACTTAAATATCAAAAAAATTCTGACAATGTACAAGATACTTTTGTACAAGATACTTTCGTACAAGATACTGGGCCTGAATCCGTGCCGAGTGATATCCTCACTTTCTGGCGTGAATGTTTTTCGCTTCGTATTCTCCGAACAAGATACTCGACAAATGGGCTAGAATTGAATGGGAATGGAGTTGATATATTGCCGAAATTATTGAAAATATATGGAGCTATGATCTAGAACATAATTGCCCATCAATTGAATTTCAAAACGAATGGGCACTTGCTGCGGTGAATAAAAAAATTGCAGGCGGCTGTATCTTTGATACAGCTGCAATTGTACGTGGATACGTCTATGGTCTTTCCTTCTCTTTCGAATTGCTTAGAAACTCCTTGCGCTCCCTCGAATTTTCTAGAAACTCTGTGCATACCTTGGAATTTTTTAGAACCTTCTTGCATTCACACGAATTTTCTAGAAACTTCTCAAATTCCCTTGAATTTTCTAGAAACTCTGTAAATTCTCTGTAATTTTCTAGAAAATCCTAGAATGCCCTCGAAATTGCTACAAGCTCCTTGCATTTCTGTAAATTTTCTAGAAACTTCTTGAATTCCCGCGAATTTCCCAGAAAATCGATGAATTTCCTCGAAATTTCTAGAAACTCCATGCATTTCCTTGAATTTTTCAGAAACTACTTGAAGTCTCTCGAAATTTCAAGGAACTTTTCGCATTAGCTCGAAATGTCTAGAATTTCTTTTCCCAAGACCCCTCATAATAGACAAAACAAAACAAAATTTAATCCAATTTTTATGAAAACCAAAATTCTGATGAAAGTCTCAATTTTCCGTGGCAGGTCCCTCTTCATAAACTAAGTTTCTTTCTATTACAATAAGCTAACTTATTCCGAGTTTCTAAATCGTTATTTTGAAGCAGAACAATTCCTATTAATCAATCGTATTCAAATGGTCATCAAAACTGGAAATCGTCTAGTATCTTGTACAAAGAATATAAAATTAAAATATGTTCCCCTCTCAGCGCAAGTAAAGTGGGGGACACGTAATTCTCGGAATTTTATTCCCCTCCAGTCCCTGTGGTACCTCGTACGAAGCTTGGACCGTATATTTGAATGAAACGGAGAAAGAGGTCAATGTTACCGCAGTTTACCAGCTCACGTTTAACTTTTTTCTCAATTTTATTGAGCAAAAATGAAGGAGTTAACGTGCTCAATTTACATGCCATTAGTGAAACTAAAAACTTGGCGAATAAATTAGTCCTGGTAGACCAATTTATTCCGTAATTTATCACCTAGAAACTGAAGCATACAAATGTAATGAATAATTACCGAGTAAAAGTACGAATGAGACAAAAGGATTAAAGGTGAGTGTATTCATCAGGTTGTTTTATTAATAATTTCTTGAAACAAAGTAGGCCCTCGGACGACAAGTGGGTCGCGGGGGCCCGCATTACGGTGCAAGAGCCCCCCTCTGCCCCTCCGTACGCCAGTCAAGACCATGGTAAACCGTGGACGCGCTCCGCCGGTGCCTAGAGCCCAACGCGAGACAATCGGCCTAGTGTGATATGCCTACACACAAACGTAAGAATCTACCCGTCGGGCGAGGGGGTGGGGGGGGGGAGAAAGACCCCCTTTGAGGCATTGGGAGAAACAGAGCGCGATACAATTTACCTTTTTTACGTGTGTACGCACATTACATTGAGATAATGTTGTCATAAATAACAGTCACGTGCAGATAAATTCGATGATCAATTTATTTGAAAGGATTGTGNGGGGGGGGGGGGGGGGGGGGGGGGGGGGGGGGGGGGGGGGGGGGGGGGGGGGGGGGGGGGGGGGGGGGAGAAAGACCCCCTTTGAGGCATTGGGAGAAACAGAGCGCGATACAATTTACCTTTTTTACGTGTGTACGCACATTACATTGAGATAATGTTGTCATAAATAACAGTCACGTGCAGATAAATTCGATGATCAATTTATTTGAAAGGATTGTGGAAAGGGGGAGAGACATTTACTTTAGATTGAAAAAACATGAGAAACATCCAATGCTGAATACCGCTGGTTGGAAGTGATTTCGCGGACAATTTTCCCAGACACGGAAACAGTTGGATTTGCCGCAAGGCAGTTGAGAAAGGAGGACGTACCTGTGTGACGAGCGTGCGTCATCGGGTTGAGTGAAACTCGACTTCCATACCTTTCTGTACCACGTACAATTCAAATAAAAAGAATTATATTGACAGAAAGATTTTTAAGAACAATCAGAGACCCCTCACTCTCGCGGTGGGTGTGACTCATTATGGGTAGAACCGACAAGTTTCCGATCAATTTCAGTTTTTTGTTCGTTTATTGGAATGAAAAAGAAATCAAAAGTTCCAATGTGGTCAAACTGGATCAGTATGGCTTCGTCAATTAATTTTTCGAATTGTTGGGCTTTTTGGGGTCATGCACGGAGAAAATTTTAAATTATTCTTTACTGTGGGAAGATAGTGATCAAGGACCCATAACACTCAAAATTTACTGTTGAACCTGGTAAAAATTGCGAATCGTATAGTAGAAAGTGGTGGAATAAAAGTAAAATTTAATTTAGCACGAGTCAAAATTCGGTGAAGGGGTAACAGAATGCCGCTAATTTTCCAAATTTGTGAACAAATTTTCTGCCGATAGTTATCGATTTTTTTACAACTCGAAGTCATTAATCTTCAAGAGGCGATGACATCAATGTGCTTTGGTTTCGAAAAATATCAATAGCTTTGAACAGGAAATTCGTTTGAAAATTTCGCCGAAACGATGGCTTTTTGTAACCCCTTAACCCTAGTCTAGTCAGCAAGCGCAACCCTGCGACTCTGGTCACCTCCGCGGGGATTCCCCGCCGTGTTATTTAGACTCTAGCGTTGCCGAATTCACTCTACACTGTCCGGGCGCGTTTAGCGAGTTTCCGGCAATGGCGCATGATGGGCTATTTCATTTAACACTGGAAAAAATAATTCATCTGTTCGAAATAATTTGTTTTGTTTGGGAATTTCGGGAAATATGCTGTTCTAAAAACTACTTTAATTCTTTAGATACTTCAATTGACAAAGTCAATTTTTTTCAACTTTTTCCGGTTAGCCGGTCGATTGTAATTAAAGAAAAACGAAGTATATGGTGACCGATCTAGGGTTAAATTCATTTTTCTCTACCTAGGTGGCTATCATTATTCACAGCAACGTATATCCAGATTCACCCAAAAAGTTTTACTTTGCAAGTAATCGGAACACGCCTGAGTGGGCATTGCTAAAGATCCATCGTGGTCTACGTCTTCCAAACATTCCTCAACTCCATCCTCAATTCCTCTACTCTATAGAGAAAAATTACAATCGCATTATTTCTACAGAAGAAATCATCAATTTTGCGAAAAAACGTAATTTTCTCGTTTTTTTGTGAGTTTTAACTGAATAACTATAAAACCGCAGAGGCGATCGGGTTCCAGATCTAATCAGTTCTCAGTTCCATTAGAATGCTTCCATTGCAAAAACAAATTGAATGAAGTCATTCGTTCAAGAGAAATCGTTGAACAAAATTTTGATTATATACAGACGTACAGACAGACGTACATGCGAACATCGCTTGGAAACAATCAGAAAATTATTCGAGGGATCGTGAAATGTCGAGATACACTGTTAAAAAAATTTGGCAGAATTTTCCGCATAAAGCCCTTGAATTCAATTTAAGGAGAAAAAATCAATAGAATTTCATGTTTCTCTAAAAAGTCCCACAATTTACATGAATTTTCAAATGAAAATCAATATTCACTGTCAAATTCCCGTGAATTTTCAGGCAATTAAAATTCTTGGAATTCTAGGAATTTTTGAAGGAATTCCCTGAAAATTCAGTGGAATCTGGAATTCAAGGAGAGATTTCACAGAATTTTCCTGATTTTTCATTAATTTTCCCGGCGTGATTTAACTACAATTTATAATTCCCATGAATTTTTCCATGAAATTATGAATTTTCAATGACAAAATTCCTTGAAATTTCTGCGGAAATGTTCCTTGTTAGAAATTTCCAAGGCTCTTACCGGAGATTTCAGTGGAAAATTTTCAAGTCTACCGTGAAATTTCCACATTAAATTCTCGGGGTCACTGCAATAACTACCCAATAGATCAGGTAGTCAATAAATTCCAAGTATTTCCCATCATTTTTCATTATCGTCATTGCCTCCGTGAACTTGGGAAATCCTGTATTTTTTTACTCTTGACTGAGAATTTGTTTATTTATTGTGTATTTATTTGTTTATTTATTTTTATTTATTTATTATTATTTATTAGAAATATTTTGACTAGACCTAGATTTCCGTCAAGAGCCTGATGAAGCTAAAATAATTCAGCGAAACGTCGCACTATGACAATTTAATCAACGTCGTAATTATTTCTCCAATATCCCTTGACCCTCTTATTATTAATTGACATCGTGGAGGTGAGAAAAATCATAGATTATTAATTTTGTTTTTTCAGTGTTGAACGTTGCCGGTGGTAAGGCACCGATGCAGAGTACAAGCGCCGAGAATGGCATCCCCCAGCGTGCTGTTGACGGTAGCAGTGGACAGGTCTACAATCCTCAGACATGCACGTTAACAAGGCCCGAGGTGCGACCCTGGTGGTACGTCAATCTCCTGGAGCCCTACATGGTCCAGCTCGTCAGACTAGATTTTGGCAAAGCCTGCTGCGGTGAGTTCCGACTTTCTTCACGCACCACTAGTCGTCATCCTAATAGTAACCCAGTGCAGCAAAACTGAAAGCGAGACTCCAAACCATCCCAGCGAGATCTTTTTTTCACCTCCAGTATTTTCTATCTGCATCGATTTATTTCCGTAGATCGAAGACTTTCCATAATCAGAGCAAATCGATGGCAATTTGACCGGCAGAATTTTATGGGAGACGGTGAAAATCTTTCACCGTCACGGCGATTGTCAAACGAGCCGTGAAACGGCAATGAATTGAAATTCCGGGCTCGGGTATATTTTTTTTACGTTGAGTTGCCACTTTTAACGGTGATGTCCTACTCCATAAAATTTGATAGTTAAAATTGGCATCCTGGAGTGCATTGATGATAAAAACAATGATTATTGATACATTTGGAATTCACTGAGGCGTTTTAGAAATTTCACCAGAGAGTGAGAGTCTTTCACTTTGGTATAACTTTCGATTGTTAGAAAATTCCTTCGTGGTAAATCTTGAAAACGCATAAGACTTGCATTATTTATCTACGTCGGTGGCTTCTAATGCACATGGTTTTTCACTTCTTTGTGCACAGCTCCATTAGGGCATTGGGAATTGACAAACGTGGCTATCTAATCTCGGCTTTTATTTCTTTCTTGACTTGGTCACAGGTGAAGTAGTTTGTCGGTCAGCGACGCACCACCGCATGAATCGCATGAAAATTGATATTATCTTCCCTTTCTCACCCATCTAGTGGGTTTTTTTAATTTCCATTGTTCTTTAGGGATAAAGATAACGCTAATTTTGATCATTTTTGTTACGTTTGTCTAATTAGATGGGGCACCCGGCACCATTGTTGTGCGTGTTGGAAATAATAGGCCAGATTTGGGGACTAATCCAATTTGCAACAGATTTACTGGACCGCTTGAAGAGGGACAACCGCTGTTTCTACCGTGCAATCCTCCCATGCCCGGTGCATTCGTCTCAGTTCACCTGGAATCTGCTGCCGCTGCACCAGCACCAGTGCAATTGTCCCTCTGCGAGGCTTTCGTTTATACGGATCAGGTAATTAACGGAAAATGAGTTTTTCGATTGGCCGCAGGCAGTGAAATGAAAATCATTGACTGGTTATTAATTTCACTCGGGAGGTTTTTGCACCCGCCGAGAATTGTAGGAAATTTTCTTTTCCGGGAATTGCGGGAGTAATTAGGCTGTTTATGGCGATTATAAGAGACGTATTAATTGGATTAATGACTTTCAACGAATGAAAATTTGAGGCAACTTTCTTCTGGCGCTGATGGAAATCATGAGTGGATTGTGTAAATTTATTCATTTTGTGGTAGAGGAATGATTTTACACTTTTGCGGGAAATACTCATGGTTTTTCATCATGAAGATGTTAATTTAGAAGGGAAGTGGTAAATTAGTAATTACCGGTACTCTAATTAGTGATAATTGATTCAAATTGTGATATCGATAGCTTTTTAATTATTCATTCATCTTCGAAGGGCGAGCTATTAGGGGTAGAGGGGTCTAGAAAACTTCGCCTCTGGACGCGATTTCCCGGATCTTCAAGCAACAAAAAATGAACAAAAAATTGAAACGTTTCAATATCACTTATTTCAACTCCCAGAAAATCATGGATAACAAAAGGAAAATCACACTTTCCTCCATCCTCACCCAAAATTATTATACAAACAATCTAATGGATTAAACACAAAATACAAAGTGGAACTACGGACAATTCGGAATAATCAATGAATGGTTTCTCAAACGAAATCTTTTGTAAACATCCTGGAACTCAAAGTATTCGAACAAGAACGTCCCAACAAATAATAACTTTCCGTCCCGGCGGGCGCAAAGTACACATTTCACATAAAATAAAAAAACGCTTAACCACATGCTTACTTACTCCATACGTGGGCATGACTCCTTTATTTTTCCTCCCTAGGCTGGACAATATACTAATCTATCAAACATCAACCGTCAAAGTTTCGCTATCACAACCGTAAATCGATAAATTCTTGTTTCACACATCTGTGCGGAAAGTTCGTACTTTGCTCCCTGATGAACGGGAGGAAACTGAGTAATTCTTATGCTGGGGTGGAAAATATTTTTTTTCCTTCCGCTCATCAGAAAACAAAATAGAAATTTTCCTTCGGGGCGTGTTAAATAGTATATTTCGTCATTAGGCCGAAATATACTAAATACACCTCGCGCGGGGAATAGTACATTACATGCCCGAGCCTTGGAAAACAGATCACCGTCCCCCAAGCGCTTGTCATCCTCGCCTTCGGCTCGGAAGGCAGTCTTGCACGTGGGGGAGAGTGATATGTTTTCCATGGCGAGGTGTGTATATTAATTTTCGTGTCGAGGACCCTCNGAATAGTACATTACATGCCCGAGCCTTGGAAAACAGATCACCGTCCCCCAAGCGCTTGTCATCCTCGCCTTCGGCTCGGAAGGCAGTCTTGCACGTGGGGGAGAGTGATATGTTTTCCATGGCGAGGTGTGTATATTAATTTTCGTGTCGAGGACCCTCCAAAACGCCAATTTCGTGGCGCGCAGCGCCACGAAAATGGGGTTTTTCAGGTCCCGTGACACGAAAAACATCTTTGCGCGCTTGGCGCTCAATATACTGATTTCGTTTACTTGTACACGAAAAAAGGCACAGTTCGCCACTCGTTGCACGTAGTAGTTTTCAGCTCGTGTGTGTGTGTGGTTTTTCACTTGTATCGAAATATACTATTTGTCAATATTTTTAAACTTTACAGACGTTGGGGATAATAGTATATTGTGTTACTAGTGCGTAAAGATCCAATTTTTCGCACGCACGTGTAACACATCTTATTTTTTGTGATATGAAAGTCATTTTTTTGGACCCGAGCGCGTAAAGTTCAAGAGCGTGCGTGAAGTGAATTTCCAGTGCCTAAAGCGGAGCTTAAGGGAAAACGGAACCCCTGCGTTTATATGAATCTTTAGAATTGTGTTTTTTCCTGCAATTACTATTTTTCATTCATTAAACTACTTCATTGACTCAACAATGCGATAATCGAGTTGATAAAATAATTTCATAGATAGAAATTAATAATTGTAGGAGAAAACACAATTCTAAGATTTGATGTAGACAAAGGGGTTCCGTCTCCTCTTAAGGGTTATGCGACGATGAATGCGACGCCTAATGTACGCATCGCTTGTAACTGTCACGAATAATCGTTCAACTATTTCACTTTGCACCCACCGGGGCGAAAAATATTATTTTTCTTTGCCACTCGAGTTCAAATCTGTGTGCCTTCCAATTTTCTAATTTGCGCATTGTTAACTAATTAGTCAGTTGCCTCATATAGATGCCATGAAAGTGAATGGATAGCAAGTAGTATCCCTATTACAATTCTAATTCATACCTTACATGTCAGATAAAAGCCCTAGGATAATACAGAATTTCAATAAATCCCCCAACTAGAGAACTTGGATTTGTAAACTCATCTCTTTTTTCCTTTCTTTGTCCCTCCGAAGAAATCTCGGGCCGGAAATTTTTTCCGAGGAACAAGTATCCGACTACCGGAGAGAAAATGGGAAAACTTTTACTTCGAGTTGAATGAAATTTCAACAAATTTCTCGGAACATATTCACTTGAAATCACTCGTGAGACGGTTTTATTGTAAAGAATGCACTAAAAAACATTTTTATCGATAAATGAAAATTTGCCTACTTCACTCATATTTTTATTACGTGAATATCTTCGCATCTGCGTTGAGAGAAACTAGAAGTTTTTTTTCAACACCTTTTTTGCAGATCAAAGTGAGAGCTGTAAAAAAATTTCCATGAAAATTTCACCGTCTCCCTCAAATTCCGCGACATTTTCTAAATCTAATCTTGAAGTGAAATTCACTCTTTTTACTACCTCATTGATCACTTCTTCTTCTTCTTCGTCTTCTTCTTCTTCTACTGCTAGTGGCTTTGTCTCCTCACTGTGGTAGGAGTAAGTGCCAACATTGATCACTTCTTTTCATTATGATGGAGTGATACAAAATATGGAAAAAAATTGTGAAGGTGGAGTCTGTGGTGAAGATTGTTATAGTTTTTTAATTACGATTTCGTGGAACTTTTTTTTGTTGGGAAAAGACCATTTCAACTTTTTGTGTTGTTGATCTTCGCTTTCTTTTTCTGCCGATCTTTCTCACGATTTTCTGTTTTTAATTGCTATACAGGCACTTCCAATCGAAAGATGTCCACAATTCAGAGACCAACCGCCCGGTTCCACTGCGACCTACAATGGTAAATGTTACATATTTTACAATCGTCAGCCACTCCAGTTCCGGGAAGCTCTATCCTTCTGTCGCGCCCGAGGTGGTACACTAGTCGACGAAAGTAACCCAGCACTGCAAGGTTTCATTTCCTGGGAATTGTGGAGACGACACAGGTAAATACATTAAAGACTATAACGATTATAATTAACCCTGAATTCGAAACCAGAAGACACTTGGAATAAAATTGAAATGTCATGAACAGATCAGGGATTATTTTTCAGAGAGCGACATTGAATTAGATTTAAGGGAGAAAAATGAAATGCGCTCAAAATTCAGTGGAATTCCAAATTTTTGAACAGCAGAAAGAGAATTTTCCAACTTACCTGAATTTTTAGTAAAAAATGATCATGTGTCGACACCAAATTTTCAATTAATTCACAATTCATGAACATACCTACCTAAATTTTCCTGACGTTTATCAATTTTTTTATGGAATAATTGAACTGAAATTTACAGTTTTCTTAATTTTTCCATTGTGAATTGAATTCGTGACGAAGATTCTTGAAATTTCAGTGAAATTATCACTTGAAGGAAATTTCCAAAAAACGAACCGACAATTTCAGCCCAAAATTTTTAACAGTGCATTGTTAGAAAAAATTTGAAAATGAATGGACAGTTTTGTGGTTGAATAAATACGATTTTCGCTATCTGACCCCTTCAACGAGTCAGCGCCCTCCGCTATCTTTCTACAGCAATGAAGGCGGCTCAAGTAAACACAAGTAAACTCAAGAAAACTCAGAATTTTTCGGAGAGCACCATTCAATCAGAGTTAGGGGCGAACCAATAATGAAATTTCAAATGTCATTGAATTTGAATTTTTTTCAATGGAATTCCAATTTTTTAGCAGCAAACAGGCGAGAATTCCCCGTCTTACTGGAATTTTCAAACAAAATATGAATATTGAGTACAAAATTACATAGAATTTTCAATTTATTGAAAGTTCAAGAATATTCAACTGAATTTTTCTAATTTTTATTAATTTTTATGGAATAATTGCACTTAACTTTAGAGAAGTTTTCATGTGATTCACTGATATTTTCATCAAATTGTGAATTTTCAAAGAAGAAGATTCCTGAAAATTTAGTAAACCTGTCACTTGAAGAAAATCTCCAAAAAACGAACCGAAAATTTCAGCAAAACATTTTCAACAGTGCACTATTTGAAATAATTTTAAATTTCATGAACAGTTAAGTAGTATTTGCATAAATACAATTTTTATTGTCTGGCTCTTTCAACGAGGTAGAGCATTGGCAAAGAAATTCGAGGAAACTCACGTAATTTTAATAAAATTCCAATTTTTCGGAGCAGGCAAGCGAGAATTCCCTAACTTACTGGAATTTTCAATCAAAAAATGAATATTGAGTACAACATTACGCTGAATTTTCAATTTATTGATTATTTAAAAAAATACTCGCCTGAATTTCCCTAATTTCTATTAATTTTCATGAAATAATTGCGCTGACATCGATAGTTTCCATTCATGTTTGATGTTTTCCCTAATTTCCATTCATGTTTCATGTTTGATGTTTTCATCAAACTGTGAATTTTTACAGCCAAAATCACTTGAAATTTCAGTCACTTGATAAGAATGTTCAAGAAGTATACCGGAAATTTCGGCCAAAAATATTTAACAGTGCATTCAAATATTGAAAATCCGCAGAAGTGACACATCGAGTCAATATTGGATGGGTGCTGTGAGGGACCCGAAGGACAAATCTGTCTGGAGGTGGACCGGAAGTGGTGATGAGGTGTCAGTATCTTTCTGGAGTCTTCCCCAGGGGACTGAAGAGGAGTGCGCGAGATACGATGGGAGCAGAGGGTGGCTGTGGTCGGATACTCCTTGCAGCTCCCGGCTCAATTACATCTGCCAACATCGTTAGTAGATTTTACGATTATTATGCATCCAGGGCGCTATAATTAATATTGAAATGCGAGAGTATAAACCTAGTTATTAACTACACTTTACGACTGGTGACTCCTGAATTTCAATTGATCCCCCTGATGATGGGGTTAAGAGTGCGCATAATACGGAGCTCGAATAATTTTTTTTTCAGTTTTTTAATTTGAAGTTTATGAGCTGGATGACACGGTCTCCATATTTTAGTAGTTGATAATTAGTCTTCGAAAGTTGTCTATTTTAAATTCTCTGGAATCGTCAGTGCGAGGAGCGATGAACCAATTATTGAACGCATAGTTGCAAAAAGGAATGATATTTTTCTATCGATTATTATAAATTATGCGAGGACTTTTAAGAAAATGTATGAATTGATAGAGTAATCACTCATGAAACGGTGCGTACATAACAGGTCGCATAGAAATTCTATGAAATTGAGAGGAATCGGTTGGAATATCCTGAAAGTTGATAGAGGATTTTCCAGAATTTTTTTGCAAATTCAAGTTTTTTCAAAGTAATTAGCTCTTCGACTAATTTTTAAATATGCCGATTATATATGTCTAAAAACGAATAATTAGTGCAAAAAAATCAATTGTTTACTGTTCATTTGTTTCCCAGACGCTTAAAATGGTAAAAAAAAGTCCAGGGCCTTCAATATTTGAGCTGAGGTTTCTTTTCCAAAAAAAAAAAAAATGAGTACAATAACAATTACGAATTAGTTTTTTGAAATTCGACTTCTGCACAGCGATTCCCTTTTGTTTAATACAAAAAAATTGCGCAATTCATGTAAAATAGGCAGAAATATTATCCTTAAAATATTTAAAATATATTCTCGATTCTTTCAGAAACATTTTTCGGGAAATTTTACATAAATGGTGCCATTTTTTATTTAAAAAAAAACGAAATTAGCTCTGTAGAAAAAATCTCTGAAAACAAACAAATAAAAAACCTCTGTAGCTCAAAAATTGGAGGCCCTGCACTATTTTTAACATTTTAAGCGTCTGCCCAGCAAAAGAACAATAAATAATCAATTTTTTTGCACTAATTATTCGTTTTCATACACATATAATCGATCTTCAATGTATGAGAAATCTCATTCCACTAGCCGCGACTTTTAAAACTGATAGCAGTTTCCTCTTAAAAAAAATACCTTCTTGTACCCAGAGCCAAGAGCTTGCGGCCGACCTGAACAGCCCCCAAACTCAACGATGGTTGTCACCAACGCCTCAGAAGACCCCGTAAATAATTATCAAGTTGGGGCATCAGTCTCGTACAGCTGTAGTTCAGGAAGTCTACTAATCGGACCATCGACACGCACCTGTTTAGACACCGGTTTCTATAACGAATTTCCACCTGTATGCAAGAGCATCGAGTGTGGATATCCGGCGAGTATCAAACACGGAGAGTACACGCTCATTAATAATACCGTCATGTTTCTGAGCCAAGTGCTTTACTCGTGCGAGGATGGATATGAAATGACTGGTATGTGATTTCTTCCTTATTTATTGATAACACGTTGCATTGAAATTCCTTTTCCTGCACCGCAGGAGAATAAATTATGTGGTTGGACGACTAGTTGAGATATATGAGATGTAATTAGTGAAGATGATTTTGAAAATTTGGTAACGGAATGGTAAATATTAGTTATCGTTATGCTGTAGGAGATTGAAAGGACGTGCATAGTTAAAGGGTAGAGAATTTTTATCATAATTTTTTTAATAAAAAAAAAAATACGTTTCTGATATGCTTCAACCTACTTTCATATTTCATGATTTTTCTTAATGGAAAAATTTCAATCACTCGCTACAGACCAATTGATTATGCGGTTGGAACACTTGTTGAGACGCAATTTGTGATGATTCTGAAATTGTGGCAACTGAATAGAACGTATTATTTATTCCATTTTTTCATCAAAAATAATAAATAGTTGCCAAACCATTGGAGATTAAAAAAATGTGCATCGTGAAGGGGTATAGCATTTTTGTTATTATGTTTTTTTTTTCTAATCAAAGAAAAGAAATACGTATGTGATATGCTTCATCCTACTTTCATATTTCATGATTTTTCCTAATGGAAAATTTTCAGTCACTCACTACAGACCAATTAATTATGCGCTCGGAACACTTGAGACGTAATTACTGACGATGATTTTGAAATTTTCATAACGAAATAGAAAGTATTAGTTATATCATTTTTTTCATGAAGAATAATAAATAATTAACAAATCATAGGAGATTAAAAAGGTCTGGATGGTGATCGGTAGAGCATTTTTTCATTATTTTTCAAAAAAAGAAAAGAAATACGTATCTAATATTATTCATCCTACTGTTTCATATTCCATGATTTTTCCTAATTGGAGACGTTTGAACGTTTAAATCTCAATCGTTACCCTCAGGTTTTGAGTACGAAAATATTCACTTGCGAAATCTGGGTCCGTTTCTTGCCATTTGGACATAAATCAGATGATTTCGTTTGGTTTCGTTTCAATTCAGGAGGAAGAAAAAGAGTTTACGGGATTTTCTCCCGAAAGTTGTTGCTCCAATTGCATACATGTAACCAGTTGATTTTTTCAATGTTATTTATGTGATTTTTCCACTTGAATATGTAACTAGGTCGTGCTAGGCTCACCTGTGACATCGACGAGCGTTGGAACGGACCTCCACCTCGCTGTGAACCCATTCGCTGCGATCCTCCTCCGACCGTCTCCCACAGCACAATTCAGCTCGATGAAATTGATGTCGAGGAGAATTTAGTGAAGAGTACAAATCGTAGTCTTTTAGTGGGTAGTGTTGTTATTTATACTTGTGAGAAGGGGTATAAACTGACCGGACATCGACAGATTTTGTGTTTGCCCACGGGATTGTATGATCATGCTGCACCAACTTGCACAGGTACATTCATCAGATTAAAATTACCTACTCAAAGAAATGCTTATACTGTCCAAAAAAATTGAAACTTTATGGCCAGTTTATTAGTCGTTTTCGGGGAAGCGATGTTAAATTCGAATGAGATGCGGAAAAAATCATGAATTTTCAAATTGATTTTTATTTCATGCAGACCCAACAGCAGACGGCCAATTACGGGATCAAATTAAATGAACATGAAGAAATAATAATGAAATTAATATAATGAACAGTTCAAAATAATACTCATTATGGAGAGGATTATTTACATTACTTATATGATAAAATTACTAGACTACCTAAATGTCTAAACGAAAACGAACGGCGCCGCGTTCATTGAGCGAGTGATCGAGGGTTAAAATGCAAGTGGAGGGAATTCTAAACAAAAATTTCCCGACAATTTCAGTCTTTAGAGCTCCTACAACGAAAGTTTGCCGTTTATCTCCCATTTTTTCCTTCAATAACATTGTCCCCACTAAGAAAACAAATTTCCATTTCTACCATTGCAGAAGAACCTAAAGTAACATCAGGAATTCTTCCAAAAGTGACCCTCAGGCCGGCAAACACCAGAGGCAAGCCAGTGTTCCCCACAAGAACCCGTTCAACAACAACCCCCTTACCGCCCTCCACAGTACCCCAAGAAGCAACTCCAACTCGAAGATATCCTCCCCAAACCGCGGAGGTTCCAGCAACAATAAGAGAGACCGTCCACAAGAGACCGACGATCGGTCTTCAAAAGCCTGCGCCACCTTCTGAAGAGACTCCAGAAGAATTCTCCGGGACCCATCCCCAGGACAATGAGATTTCTGGGAGTTCAGTGGACAACGCGAGGGCTAAAATCAACACAGGAGTCCCAGAGCCCACTGGGCCCTTCCGAGTGGATCGTTCGGACGCCCCAACTCATCAAGCCAAGCTCAATCTTGGTGCAGTCATCGCCCTGGGCGTCTTCGGCGCCTTTGTCTTCCTCGCGGCAGTCATCACCACTGTTGTAATACTCATCCGAAGGTGAGACATCATATTTTATCTTAATCTCAATAATGCAACCGGAGGTGAGGAAAAAAAGGCGTTTTTTTTCTTGCTTCGTAACTTCCCCCCTTAACTCCTCGATTTCTCCAATGCTCACTGTAATATCCTATTGACTAAATCATTGTTTTGATTAATTCAGAAAGTAACAGTCTCGCACTGCTCTTGTGAATGCAAGTACAGAGGGTCAGTGTGAGATATCCTGTAAATTTTGTAATTCAAATGGGATGAAAAATGTTTTATTCGCTTTGTTCCCTTATTTTCTCTCTTATTATTTTTTTTCATGAATCAGTAACTGGTCTCGCACTGCTCTTATGAATGCTAGAGTTATTCTCGACTTGTTTGCATCCGCAATTTCACCGTGATGTATGGGGATTTATACCCAAAATTGAAGACATGAACATTAGATAGTTTAGCAGTTCGTTTTATTGCCTGTTGTGTGGGGTAACAGATGAACCCAATAATAAACGAGATGAGTCATTTTCATTACTTAATAATTAGCCCCTGATGGATATATCAGGTAGTTGAAGGGAGGTGGGGAACTTTTTTATGGGGACCTTTCTTCGAGAAAAAACCGGAGCTTCAGGAGGAGATCCTAATGGAAATTTCGTTCTGCGTTAGAACGAAAATGTTCATAAAAAACTTGGCTTGAGGTGACTTGACTAAGTCCATTTGAAGTTGTTACAGACTGAGAAGAAAATTTCTAATATCTAAAACATATTTTCTTGAGACAAGTAATTTTTCTTCAATTGTTCAATTCTACCAGACATCTCAACTCATGTGGCCCGAGAAAGACCTCATGCTTTAACATATTCTTGAAATCAAGTATGATTTTGTCGCAAATGAACTCATTGAAGTCGCGTAGAAGAATCGCCAATCGTCAAGTGTTTTCATAATTTTTTCATCACGCTGTGACGAAAAGTGAACTAAAAGTCCAATTTCCGCCACATTGTGATGAAAAATATTGTTCGTAACTCGTGAAAAAATGTTTTTTAGCTCGTTACGAAAGATACTATTCCTTCACAATGTCCGTAAACGGCGTTTGACGGAGACGAAGTGAAAAACTGGATCTTTACGCACTAGTAACACAATATACTATTTCGCCCAAATAACACAGCTAATTTTTCCCCAGACTGTCTATAAACGGCGTTTGCGGACACAAAGTGTCCCGAAAATATCGTTTTACGGACAGTATGATGAATAGAACTCCTTTAGGCTGGATAACATTTACAAAAAATTCAATCCTCATGCATCACACCACTAGAATAAAACAATCCCGGCCAGTGCAGCCATGTAAATTACACAAAAAAAAGTCAGCCAGAATGAAAATTAACAATGGTGAATTTGTAAAAATTGCGTGGTGGTTAGCGGCAGCGGCAGCATAGGAGGAAGGCGTGGCCGCAGGGGTCTTGGCGGGGTTGCGCTCGGTGGTGGCCGTGGTGCAAGTGCTGGAATCGGGAGATCAGATCCATCAGGGATGCCATCGCGTTGGTACACGCTTCTCGCGCTTCCATTTCCCGACCAGCACCTGGGTCGTCGCGACCTCACGGCTCGCCGAGCCACCGACCATCCGTACTCATTCAATCTATCAGCAGCCCACCGTGCCGGTTACTTCTCCAATCCCTCCTTATAACGACCAATTGAGCCACGAACGAAAAAAAATCAATAAAAAAATGTACAAAAACATGTTCAACGAAACGAGACAGACGCTTAGTACCGATTAAATTCGACGAATTTATGATTAACGATAAATCTCCCCAAAATGCCTTCATCACCTCATCAACGATATCAATCGACGTCTTCACATCACAACCATGTGTATAGAGTCACCCACACGAGTGACCCGCTAGTCAAGGTAAATTCACGTTGACCGATGAATTGGTTGGGCGGTGTTGAGGTCACGCACCATTCACCTCAGCAAAATTAGCATACCACAAAAAATCGTAGAGTATTATTGTAGAAGTAGCCGGCTGGTATTCTCCTAGACGCCCACATAGCACTGCATTTCATAGCCTACTGCACGCTTTCAGGGGGACGAGCAGAAATCATATGAGGATGTCAAAGTGAGACAGTTGTCGGCAATGAATAAGGGAACAATCGAAAAAATGATGACCTTTAGAAATAGCTCAGGGGCGAAGCCGTGATATCGACATAATATCGAGGAATTTTCGTTACTTGTGCGTAAAGGGAGATTGTACGCACGCTGCACGCGCGGAAAATCTCCCTTCCCACACATTGCGATGAACAATAGGGTTCGGCACTCGTGGGAAGTGTTCTTTGACCCTTGGGAGGGGAGCAGTCGCCTTTGGCAAGCACCTCTTACGGTTCAAACAACATTTTTACGCACTCGTATCGAAATATATCATTTTGGTGAAATTTCACTTCATGAAAATTTGAATTAAGGATATCCAAGTACTTTGGCTATTTTTTCTCCAGTGTGATACTTTTCTATTTTTGTAGTCGAATATCAGAGCTGTCATTTGAGCCTCATTTAATCCTAAGTTTCCGGACATTTTACAAAGATTTTATTATTCAAACTTTGCAGGTTTGAATCTCGATATTGAACCGTTAGAAAACATTTTAAAATTCTGAAAAAAATTAGAAAGTTTACTTTTGGAGGAAGTAAACTTTCTATTAATTACGAGCATTTTCTATAAATAATCTATAAACATTCAATTTTCCACCATAAAAATCATTCTTTCGCAATTTTAATAAATTTATTCATATTCAGAATTTTACCAGAAATCGATTTCATGCTTAAAAAATAAGATTTCCGAAAGTTTAAACAATTTAAATGATTTATTTATAAATAACGAATGTTTAAAAAAAATGATAATTCGGTGCATAATGTAATTTGAATGGCGCTGAATATTCATGACTTTATTTCAATTTTTCTCCCGCAATTTAATGACAAATTTGATGATCGAAGATGGTTGAATCAATAATGTAGTCTGTTCCAAAACGTAAAAGTTACTTGGATATCCTTAAGTGACAGTTACACTGAAATTTCAAGATATTTCGTCATTGGAAATTCACAATTTGATTAAAAAAATCGATGGAGACTGTAAGTTTTAGTTCAATTCTTCCATCAAAATTAATATTAATCGGGAAAATTCAGGTGAATACATTTTTGGATTAGCTGCTAAATACTCATGTCTTCCCACTGCTCAAAAATTCAGAATTCCATTGAAGTTTTAGTAAATCAGGAAAAATCCATAATTTTCTCCCCACCGAATCGCATTCAATGTCGCTCTCAAGATTAATATCCATTTTTCCATGAAATTTGTATTTTTTCCAACATTGTACAAGAATACGTCAGCAAATTTTTTCCGTAGGCAGGTAAATTCCTAGCGAAAATCATTTATTGACGCTTCCTCCCCTGGAATCACCCGAAAATAATCGACTTGTTCATTTCATTGCAGAAACTGCCTCACAAGCATATCCTCAAACAAAAAATGTATTCATTGTCGTCAAATTTAATTACAATCTCACGCCAATTCTCAGTCAATTAATTCCCTCATTTTTAATTTTACAGAACAAGAGGAAGAAGCAGCAAACATTATCGCCACCGAGCCTCCCCCGACTGCAACACAGTGGCTAGCTTTGACAGCAGCTCATCAGAGTCTCGAGGAGGCTTGAACAGATACTACAGGCAGGCCTGGGAGAATTTGCACGAGACAGCTGGACAAAAGGCGAATCATCCGCCCCTGCGACGTAAAGAAACCCTGGATGAGCCAAGCTATCGTGACAATTATCGTGGTGATAATGTTTCTGAGGTTGGGGAGAATGGCAATGGATTTGCCGCAAGCAAACACGCTGGGGATAAGAAGAGACATCATCATCATCACCACCATCATCATGGCAGTGCCAATGAATGGCGACAGTCTCAGTCTCACCACAGATACTGAGACCCATCTACTGAACGTTTTCTATCGATTCAAATGATGTTGAAGATAATTCATTTATGTAATAACTATATTACACTGAGAGGAAAAGTCATGTCCTCAAAAGAGTTTTGTTTGAACCGAAAAAATTGTAAATTTAAAATTACCAAAATAGAAATTGTTTCATTTGTACAAATGGCAACTTCAATTATGAATAATCCCTCGGATTTCAACAATGAATTGTTTGACTCAAGAGGCGGATCATTCACGCGACATGGTGCCTGTTCAGGATGAATATATCTCTGTTAAGGATATCCAAGTATTTTGGCTATTTTTTCTCCAGTGAAATGCTTTTCTACTTTTCTAACCCAACATCAGAGCATTCATTTGAACTCCAATTCATCCTGCGTTTCCAGACATTTTACAATGATTTTAATAATATTTAAACTTTGCAGTGTGAATGTGACTCTCCATATTACACCGTTAGAAACGATTTTAAAAATGGGAAAAAATAGAAAGTTTACTTTGGAAGATTGATGAAACAATAAGAAAATTGCAATTTTTGAAAATCACAAGAATTTTCTGTAAATAATATATAAACAGTTAATTTTTCATCATAAAAATCATTGGTTCGTAACCGTAATAAATTTGTTCATATTCCGAAGTTTACCAGAAATCGATTACATGCCTAAAAACATAAGGCTTCCGAAAGTTTAAACAGTCTCAATTATTCATTTATAAACAACAAATGCTTAAAAAAATAATAATCTGTGCAAAATGTAATTAGAATGACGCTGAATATTCATGATTTTTTTCAAAATAGTCTCACGCAATTTGATTTACAAATTTGATACTTGGATATCCTCAAAGTGAAGTTAAACAATAAATATTTTGTTCCCAACTCACAGAATTGCTATCATGTCACCCTCTATTCTATTTAAGAATCAATTTCCCATCTTTGAGTATTGGATAACTGAAACGAAAAGCTACTCTCCCTTGTTCCGCATACAACAGTGATTTTTTAAAACAAAATACGTATGGTAATATAGAATAACGAACAGTTGATGCTAGGAATATCATTTCTTACTTGCACAGAAAATAAGAACTTTTTAGTTCAACTAAATCAATTGTTGCGACAAGAATTTTCCATCTCAGGACACTCTTCAAACGTTCAGCAGTTGATTGTTCATTTCTGGTGATTTTAAACTTGCGATTTTTTTAGTTCAAACAAGGCTCGTTTGAGAATATTTTTTTTTTCTATCAATGTACGCTAATCTTCCTAATTTTGATATCCCTTTGTAAATAACTGTAATGCGTTTTACGGTTCGTAACGGGCGCCGATCCGTTCGATGGAACATGCCAAAAAGAGAGAGACACACTCTAGATAATATATTATATATACTTAATTATGGTAATTCGATCTATTCGGATTCTCCAACTGATTGATCATTTCTTCTTATTCCTGTCCAGTGAATTGGTGATTCATTCGTAATGACCGCCTTGGCCTCACCTTATTGAGAGTCTGAGGGACTCAAGGAAAGGCTGACGTTGTTCATTTGGATACGATGTGAAATTATTCGTCATTTAGATACTGACACTATTGCTTTTCTTCTTTCGATGATGACTGAATTTCCATGAGAATAATTCGTCCAGTAATAACTCTTTCAACAATTGTTTTATTTTTTTTTCGTAGTAGTGCCATTAATCGGCAGTTTTATTCTGTTTATTTAGGTGTAATTATTCGAATTTACCAGTGGTGTGTAACTAACGTTTGGAGAATCATTTATTTTAACGTTTATGTAAAGATATGTTCCTAGTATCCTTGTATCTATTTTAGAGATTAATTAATATATGCGATAATAAATTCGATGAATATTATGCTCAGTTTTTATCATTATTTTATTTTGTAACTATCATCTTTGAGATTCAACATAAGTAATAACAAGTACAAAAAGAAACTTTGGGATGCTTATTTTTAACTCAACCACTGACCTATGATGTTGCCCACTTTCTTGCGAACCTCGACTAGCTCGGGAATATCGTGCTCGGAGGCTGGGTACATGTTTGCACAGTGAGCAGTACCTAGGCGAGGACAATTATTGATTAATAAGATACAATTGCAATGTTTGGACGTTGATAATTAATCAGAATAAGAATTCTCCATGATGAGAACCATATTTAGTGTTCGAAACGATTTTGTTTATTCATTATCATATTGCAATTTAGTTTTTTGCATATATAGGGGAGAGTGAAGCAAAATGAAATAGTCGAAAAATGACTGTTTGACACAATTCAAAAAAAGTGTTTTCTGTTAAATATTTTTTTTATCAACTTTTCTTATTACTGGGAGTACTGATGGGAATAATAATGTTCTATTCGTCTTATAATTGAATTCGTTCTAATTCAATTGATTAATTAGGCCGGTTACACTTCTCTTTTTTCATTCGATTGAAATTCAGCATCACTTTTTCCTTTTTCTCCCTCTGGGTCTCCCCTGGGTCTTCGTCTGGACTTTGGATTTGGCTGTTTCATTTTGTTTTCAATTAATCCAATGAGACAATCTTTTCCCGTTAAACCTGCTCAATGATTTTTCATTCTACTGAACGGAAAATTATTATTCTCATTAGTACTCTCAAGAATAAAAAAGTTGATAAAAAAAAAGATTTAACAAAACAAATTTTTTTGCTTGAATTGCGTCAAACAGCCATTTTTCGACTGTTTCATTTTGCCCCCCTCGCCCCTATACAATTGAAATGTAGCCCGGAGAGGGGAGTTTGGGAGGTACAACCAAGATTTTTGGATCGATTAAAGTTGGAGGTAAAAAAGAGAGACAGTTACCATTGATATAGAACGCTGGAGTATTTGGATTTGACGATTTCGTGATACCAAGGGCGTGCCAGGGATCAATGGAACCATGAACGTAGACGACGTTTGTCACCTCTAGGTGGAGACCACCGTACAAAGTGTTCGTTCGCTCTACAGCATTCCCTAACAGGTGAATGTTGTACCTGCGAAAGAAATTATGACAATCAGAAATCCATTCAAACATTGGCATTTAGTTTTCTAGATACCCCATGATATATGAAAAGTTATTTTCATCAACCGAAGACTGAAATTTCACCTGGGTCCCCCCTCAAGGGTAGAATTCTTTAAAATGCATCCAAAGAACAAACCTCGGTCCGAATATATCACTGCACTGCTGCACGAAGAACTCCACTGGGAAAGTTTCACTAAATAACATCGGCTTAGCAGTTGAGGTCTGGAAGAACCCGAATTCAGTGCAAGTCTGATAAGTCCATTGGCGTCCACCCTCGGACATCTCAGCCTTCCAGGAGACATTTCTCATCTCATCCAGCATCTTACTGTACAAATAATCAAAGCATTTATCACCACTGGCATTCAGCATCATATTGCTGACCTCTGCCAGTCTATCCACAGCGAGTCCTGGTTTCTGATCCACCAGAATATTACAGACAGTGTCAATAGTGATGTTCCCAAACTTGGAATTGTCCCTGTTATCTTTATTGTACTGAACGACTTCAGCAAAATTACTGGCAAGATTCTCGTACAGATTCGAGATATCATTCTTCTTAGTGTTGGATGGGTCAATCTGATCGCAAAGCTTAAACTTCTGGCTGAGATTCATCTGCCCAATTCTGTGCCTGAGCATCACGTGGATCTGTTGAGTGGCATTGGTAATGGCGTCGACACATGCCTGAGAATGGGTCCTGAGGGCCTGCTCGACGACGACGTAGTACTGTTGGAAATCGAGTTGAGCTAGGAGAGGGCCGCTGGTGGAGACAGCACCGTGAATCAGGTGAGGGTATTTGGCACGAGCCCAGGCAGCTAGAGACCCTGGGTACGACCCTCCGAAGGCAATCCACTTGGTGTCCGCAGGAATCTGGTGTTTGTATCTCATTCCCTCAATGAAGTAAGCTAAATCTCCCAGGGCTTGTTCGGAACTCAAGTACACAAGGTTTTTTACGCTCAAATCCCTGGAATTAATGGAATACGAATGTATCAGCGGAATAATTATTCGTGGAATTGAAGTGAACACAATTTTTGAGTGTTGAAGAGATTGACCAGATTGACAGACTGACAGACCATTTTCTTTGGTCTGTCAGACCATTTTCTTTGGTCTGTCAGTCTGTCAATCTGACAGACCATTTGAAATTTTTTTTTTATGGTTTGATGGCCAGACCATTTTCTTTGGTCCTTCAGTCTAATTCTGGAGTTGAAAGGAGACCTAATAATAGCAGATAATATACATAATAATAGATAAAAATTCAATTCTTTTCCATTCAATTTTTTTTTAGATTTCATAACTCATTCTTTATTCTATTGAAGAAAAAAAATTATTCCATTTCATTAACAATTGAATACGGTTTCAATATTTGAAAAGAATTCTGGAGTGTCCATTTTGCCCCCTCGTCTCCTACTGTGAACAATTTTTGGTTGCGATTTTCTGTACACTTTTTGGAAATATTTACCAAGTGATAGTTCCACTGGAAGTTCAGGGAATTTCGAGATTCAAATTCACAGTTTGATAAAAAAAAATCAATAAAAACTGTGAATTTGAATTCAATTTGTTCATAAAAATAACTGATATATTCGCGAATTTTTAATTAATTGAAAATTTAATGTAATTTAATACTGAATATTCATGTTTGGTTTGAAAATTCATGTGAGTTGAATTGAATTGAGTTCTCATCTTCCCGTTGCTCAAAAATTTCTAATTTCATGATTCCGCCCGCACATTCACCTGAATGTCGCTCCCCTGAGAATTACTACTGAGCAGTCCATGAAATTACACTGCGAGAAGGCTTTAACAGTGTAGTTGATACTTACGGAGTTGGATGACTTTTTCCATAAAAGCGATGCTCCAGTTGGAAACAGATGGCTCCATACTGCTTAGCGTACTCGATCCATTGACCTTCGACCATCCACTTTGCGCTGGCGTCTCCTTCCCCTCCGATCAAGAGGAACACTGGACCACCTTTCTTGTAGAACTGATCGTTGACAAAGTATCTCTGGAGAAACATGAATATTGGAAATACTAAACATTCTAATGTTGATTTTTTTATGCCCGAGTGATCCATAATATTTTTTTCATCACGCTGTGACGAAAAGTGAACTTTTCGGTACGCTCCGCGTGCCTAAAAGTCCAATTTCCGCCACATTGTGATGAAAAATATTGTTCGTAACTCGTGAAAAAATGTTTTTTAGCTCGTGGGATTACATCATAAACCTCCCACTCACCAAAAAACACTTTTTTGCACTCGTTACGAAATATACTAATGTTACACCGTGCAAAAGTCGAGTTTGAAGCATGCAGCGTGCGATAAACTCGACTTATTGCCCAGCGTGACATGAAAATTGATAGAGAATTATAAACGAAAAATTGGAAAAAAAATCTCTGAGATTTGAATTTATTTCTCGACAATTCAGCTAAGGAACAAGTCGATGTGAATCGTTTTACCCCTCTGCTACTAAATTGTCTCAAGGATGAAAGAACTAAATAAATTCAGCTGAGTACCTGTTGCCATGCTTGCATATTCGTGGGATCAAAGTGGTCCAAATTCTGGGTGAACCACATGTCCCCAGGTAGTTGGTATTCTCTGGATAATTTCGGATCTCCAAGTCCATGTTTGCTTCTTCCCCGGAAGAAACTCTTCCACGCGAAGGAAGAATCACAGAAAAGTGCGAATAGAAATAGAATGAAGCGTTCCGAGCTCTTCATGTTTGGTGATACTTATGCTTTACGAAATTGAGGACGACGGAACTATATCTAGAACGCGATTTATCGGTTTCAGGGGTCGAGGAGCGGTCTTTAACAGTGATAAGCAACTAAAAATAAATGCGTTAGGAAGAATCGTTATGATATTGAGGATAGGTTTGCTTGTCAGGGCAGGCGTCCGGTTTCGGTTGGTTGTTATGTTCGCTCAGATGTTACTGGAACAGGGCCAACCTTCAATTCGCGAAAAGGGTGGCTCATGAGGGTAACAGTAGCGAAGTGGTAAAGCGATTTAAGTCGACTTATCTCTTAGTTGAGTTTTTGAAGAATATCTCCGAATCTAAAGGAGATAATGGAATTTTCGTGATAACCTTTTTTCTAGAGAAAATTGAGTGCAACAAAAAAGGTCTTGATAAAAATTTAGCTATCTCCCTTAAGTTCCGAGATATTCACTAAAAGCTGGCCAATAGTCAAAAACGACTTGAACCGCTTTACCACTTCGCTACTGAATTTTTTCCGTAAATCCATAGGGACTAACTTTTGGGTCCGATTGTCTTGGGACACACCTTAAGGAGTTTGAATAACGCGGTCAAACTGCACTTCCGGTTTTGACCAACTATGGCGGCCTTTCTTTGACTAGAGTAAAGTTCTCGCCACGAAAGAAGGAACCTCGCTGGATACCCCCACTCTCCTGAATTCAGCTTTCAATCCACGGCCCCCACCACTCAAGCCGATGTTACTTCTTTCGTGGCACGGACTTTATCTTTCGGCAGCACACCAACGCCATATTCCGTTCTACATTCTACTCTGGCTATTTTACACGTTTGACGATAGTGTACGCTGTGTGTGTAAACCCCTGTGTGAATCACGTTCCAAGTTCCGTAAGGGTTCTCTCTGCTTATGCATCATCCGAATAAAATCCTGAAAAAGAAACGAAACTGAAACGGCATGTCAGAAGTATCGAGTGAACCTCAAAGTAATCAGGACTATTGTTTCAAATGGAGCGATTACCAGAATCATCTGTCGACAGTAGTCAGACAATTGCTAGAAGAGGATTCCATGGTAGACGTTACGTTATGTGTTGCTGGAGAGCGCATTCATGCACATCGAATTGTATTATGCGCCTGCAGCACTCTATTTCAAGTTTGTAAACATTGCAGGTTTGACGTTTCATGGGTTTACTTTGATTTCATTTTTGGTAATGTTATTTTTTTCAGGAAATTCTGAGTGAAACAAAAGAGGATCATCCCACCATTATCATTAGTGACATATCAGCAGATGATGTCAGGTCTATTGTGGAGTTTTCGTATCAGGGAGAAGTTAGAATACCTGTGGATAATATAACAAACTTGTTGGACGCTGCACAGCTGCTGAAAATCAGTGGATTAATGGAGGTAATTATTTTTTGTAAGAAATTGGAGATTTGGGGTTGATCAGGTGATTATGCGGGAACTGAGGTTTTATTTTGAGCCATCTGAAGAATGTAGAAATGTTGTTTTTTTAGAAGAGAAAGCTAATGTATTCAACTCCCTAGTTAAGGTGAATCGAGCAGTGTTTGAACGAATAAGCTCAGAGCTAGTTTCGACGCATTTAAAAAATATAGGGTAAACAGGCCACGGTTGAGGAAAGGTGCTGGATGATTAAGGAAAATTCAAGTTTCGTGGTAGGATCTAAAATATAAGAATCACCAAAATGGGTATATGATGGCTCCATACCTTCAAGAATGTTTTAATTAGCAGAAAAAAATTATTTGAAGTTAAAATAACAAAAACAAAGAATAATCAAATTAAGAAATAGTTGAATGCAGCCAAAACCTCTAATTTCTGGATGCCTGGGCCATATTTTTTTTTATTTATTAAATGTCGATCAATAGGAAAAATAATTGATCACATGATTACACACGAGTAATATTATTGAAAGCGTAAAGAATCACCACAATTTTCATTTTATTTATGGAATATTCAAGGCAAGTTGAAATCGTCCAGAAATTGATCTATTTACCCTATTCATGATTTTTTTCAAATTTCTCTCAGGCAATTTAATTAACAAATTTGATTTAAAGAAAATGGTTCAATTTATAGTGTGGTATATACTAAACTGTAAAAGATACTTCGATATTCTTAACTAAGATATTTTTTCTCGTTTGTCATGAGATTGAAGGACTCGATGAGAACGATTCGCCCGCAAGTAAGGACCCAACCGAAGAAGTGGAAGATCCCGGAGTATCGCCAGATCGCGAAGAGAACGTGGTATCGAATCCAGTTGGACAGCAGACAGACGAGGACGCGGACGTTGACGAGGATGATTCCAATGGTAAAAAAAAGAAGGAGAGAAAAAAGAAAGATACCTCGAAAAAGGAGTACAATGAGGCAATGCTGGACACAGCTATAAATGACTTGAAGGATGGGAAAACGTTGATTGAAGCTTCGGGTAAGAATCATATCCCGAGGTCGACCCTCTACATGAAAGCGAAGGCACTCGGCATTCAGTTACATGCAGCCCGAAATGAATATCCCGCGGAGTGTATGCAGTCTGCTATCGACACAGTCCTCGGTGCGTATCCACTAACTTCTAGCAAATAGGAAAAGGTATGAAAAGTCATGTGAACAATTGATATTTTATGTTTTCTGGTGTGCTGAAACCGAATTTATAATTTAGCCCGCAATAGTTATGGAGTTTAATTAGTTAATAGTCGGTTTCGTTAGTTAATAGTTATAAGCAATTTAATTATTCGAAAACGTTTTACGCTGTCATTTTGACAGATATCAGAAATGTTCCAAATGAGGAGTGTTTTTTAAAGTTAACGAACAAAATGAATTTTGATTTTTGAAAATCGGTCAATTTTTGTGGAAGATATAGTAGTTTGCAATAATAGGGCGGTAATGTCACTTCTGACGCATAAGTGGCGCATCCACCCGTAGTATAGGGCATATTGAAAATGCCAAATCTTAGTAAACCAAAGATTATAAGTTTTAGAAGAATAAAAAAATAATATATTTAGTATCCTTTGATGCAACTTTTTTGTTTCAAGGTTTTTCTTCGAGAATATTCTTAATTCTCAAAAGACATATTTATTGATAACAAAATAGATAAATCAACAGCACTTTAAATTTAAATTATAAAAAATCTTTTAAATCTTCCAAATTTTATATTATATATCTTTATATATATTAATAAAAATACAAAAAATATGTAAATATATATATATTTTTAAATAATTATTACTTATGAGAATTTTTTTTATTATTTGGAAAAAAATCATGAACGAGAAATTTTTATGCATGTGTTTGTCGAAGAAGACTCAAATGTTTTCTTAAATCTGGGCATAATGAGAATTACTTCTTCTTTAATGAATTAACAAATTCATAACGATCATAAATAATATGATAAACCACTAAGCGTTCCTAGCCTATCAAAATGGTGGGGTAAAACGCATTTAAATAAGTAAATTGTTAATAACTATTACCAGTATGACCGTATTGCCGGCTAAGTTACAAATTACGTTTCAGCCAATCGAAAAACATGAAATATGCAAGTTTATACTTTTTCCTGTCAGCGTGTGGACTACAACTTTCTCTCCGCAAGACCGAGTTTTGTTCTAGAAACATTTCTTTATAATTGTGCTTCTTCTCAACTGGCAGGTGGTGCAAGCCTGCAACAAGCAGCTGAAATGTACGGAATACCAAAGACTGTTCTTTGGAGGCGAATACAAAAGGAAGGATTCCAAATAAACAGACCAGAAATGAAGAGACAATACGCCTCTGAGAAGCGACTTGCTGCTGTGAAAGCACTCGAAAGAGGAGAAAGGCTCACGAAAGTCTCTAATGAGTTCAATGTGAATATTAATTGTCATTTGCACAATTTATTTTGCAAACATTCCTGAAACTAAGGGCTTGGCAAAAAATATTGTGAGATTTTTCTTGTGTAAGATCTGATAAATTACGCCAAAGCCATGAATTTCAAAAATGTTCGCTATTAATTCCTCAATTTATTCCATTTGATTTGTCAAAGTGACCAGTTGTTGTCCATTCGATCGATCCTATGATAATTGTATGTTTCAGATACCCAAAACGACTTTGTTCAGAGATAAAGCAAAACTGGTAGACGAGGGGAAATTACCAGAATCTTTCTGGAAGAAGCGAAAAACTGACGACGAAGGCTTGAAAAAGAGTAGACTTGAGAAGGCAGTGGCAGCCTGCAAAGATGGTAGAATGTCCCAAGCTGCAGCAGCTACACTTTATGGCATCCCCAAGACCACGATTTGGAGAAAATTGCAGCAGACCAATAAGAAGAATGAGGATGACCCAAGTCCTCAGGTTTCAAAGAGAAGAAAAAAGGATGATGTTCAAATTAAGAGTGAAAGTGTTAAAGATGACTTTGCTCTGTGTGAAGTGAGTAAATGTTGAATAATCAAGAGACTTTTATTATTTCATTGAGATAATGGATGCACTGTTTGTGTTTCATCTTAGAATTGATTTATTACTTTTTTTTTATCGATTTGTTTGTGTTCATTTATTTTGGGTGATTAAAATAGTGAATATGATGAATTAACACATTTGGTAATAGAAGCAGGCAATAATCTGTCCCTATTCAATGAATACAATTAAAATGAGATGATAATTATTGTCAAATTATTTGCAGGTCGCTGCAGAGATCCCCATAACCTACATCGATGAAGACAGTATTCCCCAGGAATCAGTAATAATATTAACAACAGAAGACGTCAATCTTAGTCTAGAGGAGAATCGTCAAATAATTGTCAACGAAGTGAGTTAAATCAAATATTTATTGAATCAACAATTTTATTCACTAATTTATACTGAAGAATTTAAAAGGAATTGAGATAATGCAATGAATAACGTTATTATTTAATTTATTTCAGGATTCTGACCAAGAGTATATTCCCTGTTCAATAAGAATCGACCAAAATACAAACTACAATCCAGTAGAGAGTTAGAACCCCTTCAAAAACGTTTTTCAATCCTTAATGTATAGATAAGCAAATGAATTATATTGTGATTCTGTAAAATTGATATTTTATTGAAATAGACTTATTCGAAGAGAAAATTGCACAATTGCAGTATTCGACTCTGTGCCCCATTCTATCAGTTAAGATAATTATCTCCAATCAGTAATAACAATTTTCTTGAATGTGACACTACGTCGACAGGTTCAATCGAGAGGACAATCGTGAAATAATTGTCAATATAAAGTTGAATCGAATATTTATTGAATCAACAATTTCATTCACTAATTTTCACTGAAGTATTGAACAGCAATTGAGATAACTAAATGAATAACATTATCGTTTAATTTATTCCAGGATTCCGGCCAAAAGTATATTCCCTGTTCAATAGGAATTGATGATAATCCAAATTATAGTCCAGTAGAGAGTTCGAACCCCTTCAAAAAACGTTTTTCAATCCGTAACATATACATAAGCAAATTAAATAAATTGTGATTTTAAAAAATTAATATCTTATTGAAATAGTCTTCATGCAAAAAAAAAGTTTAACGAAGTATTCAACTCTATTCCATTCCTTTAATTAAGATAATTGTCTTCAATCACGATGACGATTTTCTTGGATGTGTCACTACGTCGAGTCTCAATCTAGATGACAATCGTGAAATAATTGTCACTACAATGAGTTGAATCTTAGATTTATTGAATCAACAATTTCATTCATTAATTTCCACTGAACCATTTAAAAGCAATTGCTCAATTGAGATAATGAAACAAACAACCTTATTACTCAATTTATTCCAGAATTCTGGCCAAGAGTACAGTGCACCGACGAGAATTTCAAACCAGTCTAGTAAAGTTAGAACCTCTTGAAAAGTTTTTCAATTCCTGACACATGCATAAGCAAATGAAATAAATTGTGATTTTGGAAAATTAATATTTTATTCAAATAGACTTAATCGAAAGGAAAAATTATTTAAATTCAGTATTTAACTCGGTTCCCTTTCATTAATCAAGATAATTATCTCCAATCAGTAATAACAATTTTCTTGGATGACACTACGTCGAGTCTCAATTTAGAGGACAATCGTGAAATAGTCACTACAATGAGTTGAATCTTAGATTTATTGAATCAACAATTTCATTCACTAATATCCACTGAAGCATTTAAAAGCAATTGAGATAACGAAACAAACAACCTTATTACTCAATTTATTCCAGAATTCTGGCCAAGAGTATGCCCACCGTACAGTGCGCAGACGAGAATTTCAAACTAGTCTAGTAAAGTTAGAACCTCTTGAAAAGTTTCTCAATTCCTGACACATGCATAAGCAAATGAAATAAATTGTGATTCTGGAAAATTAATATTTTATTCAAATAGTCTTAATCGAAAGGAAAAATTATTTAAATGCAGTATTAACTCTGTTCCATTTCATTAAGACAACTGTCCACAGTCAGCGACGACGATTTTCTTGGATGTGGCGCCACTCTGTGAGCCGAGGCCCTCAAGCTGCTTAACCACGTCCATGCCCTCGACAACAGATCCAAAGACCACGTGAGCATTGTCCAACCAGGATGTCTTGACCGTGGTGATGAAGAACTGAGAGCCATTCGTGTTCTTTCCAGCATTGGCCATCGAGAGAATTCCAGGGCCTGTGTGCTTCAGCTGGAAGTTCTCGTCGTCGAAGGTCCTTCCATAGATTGATTTTCCGCCCCTGCCACTGCCCTCGGTGAAATCACCGCCCTGGCACATGAAGTTGGGGATGACTCTGTGGAATATTGAGCCTTTGTAGCCGAAGCCCTTCTCTCCGGTGCACAGGGCACGGAAATTCTCAGCAGTTTTTGGGACAACGTCTGAACGTAACTCGATGACGATACGACCCACTGGCTGACCATCGGCGGTCATGTCGAAAAATACTCGTGGGAGACCCATTTTTCTACCTTTGAAACATTCGACACGTTATTTTTAGAGCCAGGGTTGGATTATTCATGCAGTTTCAGTTACTGGAAATTTTTCCTGGTGTTTTACTCACCTCTACGTTTTAATTTACTCCAAAAACCGAACGTCGTGAACACACGCTTCAATACCGCGTTTTCAGGTTGTGGCGTCGCGTCTTGGCTTCAGGCCTGTGCTGCCGCGTGCAATGTAATTGATTTATTGTTATTATTATTTCGAGATAATAGCGCTGCTGGAGCGGGAGTTTTGAGTGGGTACGTGCAGTTGGTAAGATAGGGAACAAGGAGTAATGAAGTTTATATTATTTTTGGGAATATTTTGGGATTTTAGTTAGGACATTAGTATTTGAATTCCTGATTAATGTACTGAGTATGCGTAGGAATTTAAGGGGGGTCCGTTTTTTAAGTACCACAAGTATTTGATGAGAAATTTTCGTAATTTTTTTTCAATTTCTTCTTTACGAAAAAATTTTTTTTTCATTCTTTGATAAAGAAGAAGAACTTGAGTAATTTCAAATTCCATACGATTGATTTTACGGAAGGCCATATCGAATACACAAAAAAATCGTTGAAAAATATGGAAAATTGTAGAATTAATAGGGTTTTTGCAAGTCGAAAAATCGAAAAATGCCAAGTTTCGCAAAGAAATTGAAAAAAACAATGATTCATAAATTGAAATGGATACTTTGGAAAATGGAATGAATCGATGTAAGGAGAGGAGAGGAGGGGGGGGGCAGATTTTGAATTCCTTCAGTGACAGCACAGACCAATTTTCTCATAAAAACGAAAAATGCCGATTATTACCAAACTGTCCCCAGTTTTCATAACAATATTGAGATTCGATTTGGTAGATATTATCACAAGCAATATTTTTACGTCAAAAAAGTTTCATTTAGTAACTTAGTTTTCGAGATATTGAGGAAAAAAGATTTTTAGAAATTACTGTATTTCGGAAACCGCTTGACCAATTGCGCTGAAATTGCGTCAAAAAGTGCATCGAAGTAATATCAATCATGCAACGAAATTTCAGGTGTTTAGCTTCAACTTTAGTCCTTTTTCTGTGAAGATTCATAAAAATTTTCCAAAAAATTCGCCCACACATCCAGACATACATACACAGATGTTCTAAAAAAAATTATATCCTCGCGTTTCATGACATTCTACCTCATTTCCAAGTCAAATTAGAAGATCGTCAAAATGAACAAAACCATTTTAAGTACAAAACTTCCATTTGGATGCCAAACTTTCAATTGTCGACGCGTTATCATTTCGTCAACATCTTGGGAAAGAAATGGTTTAGCGGAATTCATAAGAAGACCCTCGTAAATCTCGTAAATCTCTTCAATTCCGAGGTATTTATCAATGAATCCGCTCATTAATTTTCAACTCACATTTCTTCCTAGGACACAGCCCGCGGTGATTAGGATAAAGGGAGTAGTTCTTGAGCGAAAAGTTTACTTAGAAACAATATTCTTATTTACTTTATTTATCACACACCAATATACAAAAATGAAACGTATTAATATTTTTTTCCGGAATACAATATACTACTAGAATTCAAATATATTTCAATAAAGATAGATCTGAGTATCTTACAAGATTAGAATGATGTTTTTTGTCGATTCTGATTTTCTTTCATACTTTAGCTCTTCAACTTGGGAAACAAAAAAAAATTTCTACAACATTATTTCACAGTTGGCACAGAAATTCTTGGTAGAAAAGACCATTTTCTACTCATCGCTCTAGATATATTTTATTATAAATAAAGATATTAATTTATAATTGTTTTTTCGTTCTTAATTAATATAATCTAGAGAGTAAAGTTCTCTATAGTTATTTTATGAGTCAAAATAAGGGCTCGGGTTTGTTTCCTAACTATATATATATTTATATATATATTTATATTTATATATTGTATGTATAATATAGCACACTACGCCGCTCTCTATTTTGTTTTTCACGTTGAAAATGTTGAGAATGAAATCTTTGATATCGAATTGTCAATAAATTGTTCACCTCGATCGATTGAATAATCGAGGCAATTCTGTATTTTTCTCTCCATAATAAAATAATTACAACGACTCGTAACTGCGAGCAATAAAACTCTAGTCTTCCGTGTTTGTGACTCAAATCTGAGCCCAACTAATTGCTCACAATTTAATGGAAATCACTAATACCATTTTTCTAATAAAAACATGGAATGTTTAGCATTCATTTAATTCGACAACGCACGATTATATCACAAGAAAGATTCAAATGCTCTGTACATGCTCTTTTTCTCGGGAACATCAGATGTTCCCTAATATTTTCACAATTCATTTTTTTGCTAGTTTTCTCGTCGATTTACAGTGATTTTTTCTTCACTTGACTTAAATTTAATCTCCTTCATTTGTTTGTGTTTTCTCTTCTCCTTTAATTAATGTAAATTATCTAAAGTTTAGTTACAAAGTTAGATATGTTTCAGGTGAACCTGATTAATATTGTACTTGATACGATTTCAATGCGCTGATGATTGCTAATTGCCAATGAAACCAATGCACATTGTCGTTTTAATTTATCATACAATAAAACGCATCATCATCGTATTTACAAATACCGATCGCAAACAGTGATATCTTCATCTCTCTCTCTCTCTCTCTCTCACTCTCTCGCCTCAACACTTTTTGCAATTGGCACGAAAATTGGCACATAATTAATGGCAAGTATTTTCCATTGGCACAATTATTGTTAACAGTTCTTTGTCGTGTCATCCGATTAGTGCATTATCATTGATTCTCTTTTTGTGAAATTGTGATATCGAACGAAGGATGGAGAGGAAATGGGGGAAACCCGTCACCGAATGTTTCCATGGGATTGCACGAACGAGGAAAAACAACCAAGGAATTAATTAATGGGAGAATACTGAGAGAAAAATCCGGACGAAAAAGAGTTGAGTTTGTTAACAGGATAATACGTAAATTAAATGCATTGAAGGATCGACTTCAGTGCGGCCTCGAGTGGCACAACGCAATTTGAGTATTTATCATCACAAGAGCTGTATAAATAATGATTTATTAGCGCTCGAGTCCCAGGGGCAGCACATTCACCTCCAACAAGATAAGAGGAGTTGAACGTAATGATAAAAACGAATATTTACACGAGAAAGAAGAAAATATGAATAATTACGTATAACATTTTTAAGGTAAAATTGATATGGTCCAGGCTGATATGAATTTGTCTGTGCCTTCGTGGACTTGCACCAACTTGACATTAATTTATAATTAAAGAATACAGTTGTGAGAGGGGGAAAACAATTTACAATTGAGTTAAATGAGTATTCGTTGGATTTGACCAGCCAACCTCCAATCGAAGTACACAGATGTGGTCCATATTGAACAATAACTACACATTAGGTGTATAGGGCCAAGAGTGGCTGATTGACGTGACCACGTTAGAGGTAGGCGGGTCTTCTGGACGTCACTTCTTCATGTCATTCATCAAGGAATTGTCCTTGTTCTTGTTAGCATCTAGGCTCGACTGTTGACTGCTTGTTACTCCGCTTCCATTACCCGGATACATCTTCTCCATGTGATTTAGTGACTCGGTTAGGAACTTCTGCAAGTATGATATCATGGTATTTAATTAATCATTGTCAGTTTATATTGATTGTTGAGGACAGTTGTGCTGGGATAAACCGCAGAAAGCTAATCGGAAGCAGATTGTTCCAGCATTTTTCGATTGTCAGTGGAGGCAAAAGGTTTAGAGGAATTTCTCGTGAATTTCGTAAATCTAGGGGAAGATGGGGCAAAGTTGAACGTTTTGTGATTATTTCCAAATCCCAATATTTGTATTTAGAAAGAAAGATATTGGTAACTAGAGAAGATCACAAAATGTTCTACTTTGACCCAAACTATCACGTATGAAAGAATCGTATAGAAATGTTCTATATGGGTTACGTATAGAATTTCTATAGGATTTTTGTATATGATATTCAGATATTTCGATGCGAATATTTTTTATGCAATTATTTATATACGATTTATAAAGGTTTCATCCTATACGAGCCACTGTGCATGTATAGAAACATTTCGTATGGGGTTTCGACATTTCTCTACGTGTTTCTCTGGAGCGTTCAGACATCTTTCGTATGAAAACAAAAATTTATGTATTGAAATAATTCGTGTAGAAAATATTCATATAGAAAAATCCAAATATCATATACGGAAATCCTATAGAATTTCTATACGATTTTTTCATAGAGTGATACTACTGGGTTGAAAGATATTTAGCTAGTTTATGACTTCCTTCATTCATTATTTAATGTGTGATTGTATACACATAAACAATTCAAGAGATCGTCCCATTTATACCACATAAATTATTCTTAGCACTCGATTTCAATGAAAAATCAATAAAATATGAATTTAAGGATAGATTAACAAAAAAATTTAACTGTAAATGGGATGAGTAGAAGGAATATTTGGGATGTGATTTATGACATTTTAGTAGTGAAGTGGTAAAAAAAGATGAGTTTATTTTATTTCACTATTGGTTTTTGAGAATCTCTCGGAAATGAAGGCACACAGCGAAATTATCATAATGACCTTTTTTATAACTGTCGTTTTTCACGTGATTTTTCTCTTTTTTCAGCGAGTTCATTCAATTCTCTTATTTCACATTTTCTTGAGAGGATTTCTTATCGCTCAATATTGGAGATTGGCTTGTTCTCGAAATTACCACCGCGAGATAAAAAAATTACATTTCAATATCTTCTCTTGAATTTTTTTAAATGTTGCCGGGTTTCATTTTTTTCAGGTAACTCGTTGTTATCATGCAATTTCAATGAAAAATCAAGAAAATATGAAGCTAAGGATGGATTAACAAGAAAATTGAACTGTAATTGGAATGAAGCGAAGAAATAGTTGGAATGTGCTTCATGGCATTCTAGTAGTGAAATGGTAAAACAAGATAAGTTTATTTTATTGATTATTTGTTTTTAAGGAACTCTTGGAAATGAAGGCACAGCGAAATTATCATAATGATCTTTTTTATAACTCTCATTTTTCACCTGATTTTTCCCTTTTTTTCAGCGAGCTCATATTCATTTGTCGTATTTCTTATTTACTTGTGAGGATTTCTTATCGCTCAACATTGGAGATTGGCTTGTTCTCGAAATTATCATCGCGAGATGAAAAAATTACATATTCTCTCATACAAAAAATATATCTGTTATATTTTTTAACAGTGTTGTCATTACTTTCGTTGTTTGAGCACATGTACGCATAAGTAACTCAAGAGATGAGTCTCATTTCTACCAAATAAATCATTGTTATCACGCAATTTCAATGGAAAATCAAAATAATATGAATTTAACGATAGATTAACAAGAAAATTAAACTGTAATTGGAAAGAGAGAGGAAAGATTTGGAATGTGATTCATGACATTTTAGCAGTAAAATATTAAAAAAAGATCAGTTTATTTTATTTACTATTAGTTTTTTACGAATCTCTCGGAAATGAAGGCACACAGCAAAATTCCCATAATGACCTTTTTTACAACTCTCATTTTTCTCAGCAAGAAATGTTCCCAATAAAAATTCCGCTATCTCCATTAGTACCAAGGAAATTCATCAAAAACTCAACTCGTAGTTGAGTGGACTCATCTCGTTTTACCACTTTTCTTTTATGTCTTGCTTGCTGGATTTATTATCATCCTCTTGGGAATAGTTTCTTACCTGAATTGCCGTGAGGGCAGCTACTATCGCTGGACTACCAAACCCATGTGATATTAACGAGAAATTCGTCAGATGTCTTTGTATACTTGGATCCAGAATGTGGGGTGGTCGAGTATTACACAGGGGCGATCTGTCTTGATTCAACAGGTCCATCAGCTCTTTGGTGATTTGTCTGATTAGGAAAAAAAAATAGTATCGTCAGCACTTTCGTTCTCACTCTCAAAGCTCCTCAAAGCTCCAGACTTTCTCAATGCGGAAGAGACTTACTTGGTGGCATGGAGCAGCTCTTTTCTCCTGTACGAGTCCTGCGGCTCACAATGCTGTCGACTCAGGTATTCGGCGACTTGTTTCGCCGGGAACTCGGTCTCACAGACGTACCCAAAGTCTCGGGCCAGGTGAATAGCCTCTCCTGTTAAAAATACAAATAAAAAAAACACCATGAAAATAAAATGAAGAGAATACGAGATAAAAAAGTGTGCTACTTTCGAGTCTGGTTCATACACATGATTGTTCCCTTTTTTCAGCCAGTTCATTCATTTCTCTTTTTGCCCATCTTTTTTCCCAGGATTTCTTATCGTTCAACATTGAAGATTCGCCTGCTCTCGAGATTATCAGCGCGAGAGAACAAAATTACATTCGAGTATCTTCGCCTATATTTTTTGAAAATATTGCCATTTTTTAAAATTATGTTTTATGTTTTTATTTTTGATTGTTGAATCGTCCCCGAGAATGTCGAAACCTCGTCTCGCGTGATTTCTTACGCTTCCCAGTGCCACTAACGTATATATGCTGCACATATAGAGTACAAAGTGGAGTGACACATGTCATGTTGCCGCGAGCACGACACGATAATGATGCCACTTGGCGAGTGTCGCACTCTGGCATCCTTCGATAAATTTATCCCCCCGCAAATGTTGCTACAGTTTCACGTGAATCTCACATTTCTTTTTTTTAGTTGCTCTTTCTCGGGTTCATTCTCTTCCTTATTTTTATCATCATCAATACTTTTGTTTAGAAAATTCAAAAGCTCTTTTCACGTTTCGAGCAAAATGTGAAAGTCTGAGATTTATTGTACTGAGTGAATTCAGTAACGAGGCCTTATTTTTGTGGCGGTGACACCCGTCATGAATTCATTGTTGATCACATGATTTCTCTTGCTTGAGTTACTTTTTTTTCAGCTGAACGGTTAATTCGTTAGCGATTTAGTTTGCGGGGATGCTGAAGATGGTTTAAAGGAATTATTTTAAAATTCCTTTTTTACACTGTTGAGAATTTTCAGTGGGAGTCACTTTGGAAAAAAATGCCGTTTTTATTCATCTTCACTTTCGATAAATAATTAAAATGGCAAGATTTCTCCATTTTCATTCCGTGGAATATCATGGCCTTAACAATGAAAATAATGATAAACAAAATCAGAGAAGATCGAGTGAAGTGGAATTCAATACTAAATCAATTCATGATACAATCCTTTGAACTATAATAAAATGTAAAAACAATATCACACTGTTGGAAAAAAAATGAATTTCATGGATAGTTGACTACTAATTTCCAGGACAATGACACTGAATGCGATCTAGGGGAAAACAATCATAAAATTTCAGGTTTCACTGAAAATTTTTCAAAATTTCAGAATTTCAAGGAGCATAAAGACGAGAATTCCTTAATTTATTTGGATTTCCAATTTAATATAAATATTCAGTGCCCAATTACGTTGAATTTTCAATGAAATCGAAATTTTCTGGTTTTTTATTAATTTTCAGGGCAAAATGGAACTAAAATTTATAGTTCTCTTTGATTTTTGCACAAAATTCTGAATTTTTAGTGACGAAATTCCTTGAAATTTCAGTGCCAATTAAATTCGTCCAAAAGTTAACCGAAAATTTCAGGCAAAAAATTTCAACAGTGCATATAACTTTTCAATTCCTTCTCCACATCCTATTAGAGCTTTCATTATTTCCAAAAATTGATCACTCTTGAAAACAAAATAAATATGAACAATGAATGAATATTAGCCACCTGTGATGATGACTTCAATTCATGCGCGCATGTAGCGCGCGCCTTTTCCCTAGTTACTGAAATACAGGGGTAATTTTCAACAGCTTTCTCTCCGCGCGCGAAGCTTTCCCACAGTATCACGCCACTGCTATAAAATTTCATCATTTCATCTCCAAAAATAAGCACTGCCTCTGATCATTTGATAAGAATAAACAATTTCCACTCAATCCTGCTCATAAAATTCAATAAAGTCATGAGATTTAAAAAACTCGGAATCTTTTACCAACTCACGACGAATATCAAAAGTTCCATTCGATAATTTAAAGAGGTTTCACCTGCTCTCGAAGGGCCTTCTATTGAAAATATCAAACCGAAATTTTCAGCATTGAATAAACAGGGATTAGTCACTGGAGACGATTGGAGGGGATAGTATTCGGGGGGAATCGAGGCTGAAGCATGCATATATATTAATGGCGCGTCATTTGCGGTCTTTGTGAACGTGATCGGCGATCTTGTACATAAACTGCCAAGGGCGCTCAAGTCTCTTCCCCCATCCACTTGAATACAACATTATCCTCAGCCTGAATCTCAGTATTATCGATTAACACCAAAATTCCAACTTCTGCAATTAAACTCGCCCAAAAAAATAAACCGTGGTCCGACATTTACGAGCATTTCATCTCTAAGTAAATCCGTTTAACATTCTCAACTATTTATGTCTTGTAATTCGAGAAGACGATAAAATGGTGACTTGTCGTTTCTCTCCGCTATTCAAGACACCTCATTGGATGAGACTTTATAGATAGCTTCATCCACACACCCAGTAACATCACTAATATTCATCCCAAGTGGCTGAAATCAGTATGTCGTGAACGGTGAAGATAAAGACGAGTGGTTCCCACACTTTCGCAGATAAACGCGTGGGCGGAGCGTTCTCTTTAAAAAGCCCACTTTTAAAAGCATTTAACCTTCTTTATGTCGCATCATTGTCCATCATTGTTCTGCTAATGTCATTGCTAGTTTCTTTGAAATTCATCTCTACTCAGGAGTAATCGCGCAAAGAAATTTCTTCATTCTTGTCAGAATGGAAAGGAAGGAGATTGAAACATTTTTATCATTATGTCTCACCGTTGACATGAATAAAAGGCATGATCTCGTTGAGTGGGCGCTAGAAGTGAGGACGAGAAATTGTGAGAAAATTGCGGGGGCGTACGGGCACTGGCCATCAATGATGTGTCTCGTAAATTCCCACATTGGCAAGTACTCGAGACATCACTCGGTTAACAAAAAGACGCGGATAAGGAGAGAAATTAATTGTTGGGCTTAACCGATATTTTCAAGTACACGATTGATCCCTGGATCGGGAGGGGGACAGGTAGTCATTCGTTGATTGTCATGAGGAGAGAGCCAACATCGAATGTTTTACACCGGTTCACAACTATCATAAATTATAATCAACGTCTCAGGCGTCAGCCAACACTCTGACAAACTTCGATGATGTCGTTAAAAAACGTCGTCGCGCGGGGATTGGCAGGCTTGAGACACACATGCTGAGAGCAGGCTTATAGAGCTGCTTCTGATTCGCCAAGTGAAAAAAATTGACAACTCAATCTATTGTTTTTTATTAATCGCCATTATGTGGAGTAGTAAAACGCAATTGAACGAGTCGATCTTTCATGTTTTGATGAATATTGGGTTATCTTCAGGTCGGAAGACAGTTCCATTGGAAATGTTCTCACCTATGAATAAGATTTAACAGTATTCATTCCTACAATGTTGGAAGTTTTTTGAAATTGAAGTGATAGGCCCATTTGAATTTTCAATGCTGTTGATTTGAGTTCAATTCAAGATGAAATTGTTCGTGGAATTTTTTACTCATGCATCATGAGGCACACACTCTCAGAGCAGGCTTATAGAACTGCTTCTGATTCCCGAAGAAAAAAGGATTGACAACTCAGTCTATTGTGTTTTTTATTAATCTCCATTATGTGGAGTAATAAAACGCAACTGAACGAGTCTATTTTTCATGTTTTGATGAATATTGAGTTATCTTCGGGTCAGAAGATATTTTCATTGAAAATGTTGTCACCTACGAACAAGATTTACTAATATTCACCCCTGAGAATTTTTTGAAATTCAAGTAATAGGGCCATTTGAATTTTCAAGGCTGTTTATTTGAAATTAATAAAACATCAAATCGTTCGTAAAATTATTTATTCACTTTGAAAATTCAAGGAACTTGAGTTTTTTGTTGGGTGGCCAAAATCTCAAACTAAATGTGAAAAATGAACATCACATTCAACTGAAATTTCAATAGAGTGGCAATTTAGAATATAATTGGCCTCAATTTAGACAATTAAAGAAAATTTCCATTGTCATATGGACCTGAGAATTGCATTGGCTTATTGCAGAAATTAAGGAATTCGCCAACAATAAGATATTTGGGGACGTCAAATCAATTTTTCGTTGTTGAAAATGTCAAGATTTTTTACTTCAAATGTAAGAAGTAATTTTCGAATAGTTTACATTCAGTTTTATTCGAGATGAATCCATAATTCGCAAAAATATTGAATTCCACTCATTATGTTTAAGTCACGGGGTTTGAGATACGTCGCATTTAAAAAATTTATTTATTCCGATAACCACTGAATTCAGGATACACGGAGCGAAATGGTCAGTAAAAATTACGGAACTCACAATTCGCTCACCGATTACGGAATCGACTCAGAAAATTTAAGTGACGGTATCGTAATTTTTCACAGGAGATTCAGATAAAAATTACGGAACGCTCTGGAAAACTTCCGTGCCAGTTTCGTAAAATTTCCTACAACCACATTTCGCTCCGGAATTACAGAAAAGATACGTAATTTTTATTAAATATTTTTCTCCGTGTACAATTTCACGAATTTTAACTTGAAATGTAAGTAGTACTTTTTTAATGTGCTACAATCATTTTCTCTCGAGATGAATCCCTAATTCGCAAAAATATTGAATTCCACTCATTATGTTCAATTCGTGGAGTTTAAGATACGTCGCATATTAAAAATTGATTTATTCCAATAGCCAGTCAATTCAGGATACAATGCCCAAAGATATTTTCCATTCAAAATTATCTGATCTACGAAACACTTCCCTATACATCATTGAATGGAACCAGACTCATCACGTATGTAAAATTCGTTGACGATTTGTACAAACCTTCAACGAGGGACGTCAATAGCGTCACATTGGCTGCCTTCCTCCTCCCGGCGGGTAGATTCAATCCAATCTTCTCCAACTTTTCCCTCAACAACCGACCGCCGTTTTTCGATTTCGCCCTGGAACAAAATAATCAACAAAATTGTTAAAGCCTCAATCGATTATTTACCTCTATATTTACTCCCTCAACTTTTGCATTTTTTATTGCTTACACTCCTAAATTTCGAAAGACCACCATCAATCACGTGTTGCCACAAGCACTCAGCTATAATGCCATTGAGAATAAAGAAAGCATTCCAGAAATAATAATAATTAGCATAATTTGTATACGCAATGTCATCGGAGCATTGAGCAATGGGTCTCGACAGAGTACACGAGAAGTTTCCATTGGTGATTCAATCATCCATCATTCCTTTGGCTCGAGTATAACGGTCCAAAAGCACATCCTCTCACCGAGAGTGCGATAATAGTTTGTATTAAAATTCCGACAAAAGAATTACTTTTCATTTTTATCGTCAACGAGTGAGAGAATTATTACGTATGCAGACGTGACAACGAGCGTGCTTGTGTCATTACCGGATGATTGTCTTGAAAATGCGCGGATTTTCTCAAGCTCAAGTTGCGGGGATAGATGTATATATGTATTAAGGGTGTATCTCATCGCTTTTCTCACTTCTGATTACTCCCTCTCTCGACCGTCGATTGCGGATCGTTAGGCGTTTGTCGACGGTGGCACGATCATCTCGTTTACGCCGATATTCTGTAACGGTCTCCACTGGTGTAATGAGTGGTGGGGAATTTAATCGTACCGTTTCAAAGCAAATGTTTGATGACAAGATGGTGGGGGGTATGTCTTAATTTTAGACTAATTTTTTTATTTCCAGTGGGAGCCGCGCATGAGGTCTCATTTGGTTTGATAGATTTTTGGCTTTAAAAGGGTGCCAAGTGAATTTGATGAAAGATTCAAAAAAAATGTTTTCTTTCCCTCCACCGTCGGAGGAATATGTATTCATCCATCTGACGAAATTTCAAACCCGCAACCGGAACTAGACATCGAGAAAATAAATACGGAAAATCCTCCATTTCGCGTGACGAACCTCGAGAAAGCATGGGTTCAAATGGGTGCGGGAGGTTGAAATATCTCTCCTATTCACCCCGGTACCCCATTATTTTTTGTCGCTATGACATTTGACACATAATTCCCCATATCTTCAAATTTTTTCAAATTTTTCTTGAGTTTCTAGGGGGGCAAAACGTTAAATTTAACAAAACTCCATAAGAGCCCGTGTATAAAACTGATTTGGTTTATTTAATTTCTCGATACCCATAAGTTCTAAAATTCTAAAATTGTCACCGATGTTCACCATCTGCCTAATACTATTAATTAAAAAAATTATAACTGTTGGTAAATGTCCATTTTCAAGGTCATTGCCAAATCACTGGGCACCCTTAAGGACTTGGAATGCATGAGGCTTGCACCGTTGAAAGTTTTCGATACACTTCTCGGAAATTTTTGAAATGTAACGATTACACTACATTATGACCTCGGGCTATTTTCTCGGTGAAACCTTAGATGTTTTTTAAGGTATAATTTTTGTTTAATGGAAAGCTGGATGCTAAATGCTATATTTCGACTTTCCGAACCTCTGTATGAGGAAACAATTAAAATAAACATCAATGCACAAATTAAAATTCCGGAGGCACACGGACTCGAACTCAAGTGGGGTATGATTCCGCATCTCCAGTTTGCCGGACTGGTGCTCTGCCAATTGAGCTTCAAGGGATTTTGTCATTCCGCATTCACTAGTGCGGGGAAAAATCAACGAGAACTGTAAATTTTAGTTCGGTTAATCCACACGGAGAGAAATATTGAATAAAAACGACGTATCTTTTCCGTAATTCCGGAGCGAAATGTGGTTGCAGGAAATTTTACGAAACTATCACGTAATTTTTACCTAAAATCACGAAATTTTTCCACAGCGTTCCGTAATTTTTATCTGAACATTTCTGTCCGCGCATGAAAATTGATAGAAATCGAGAAAATTCGCTGATAAGCGGGAGGAAAGTGAGTACTTTCCGCCCTAGGGTGGGAATTTAATTTATGCCACTCATGCCTGAAACCGGCTGGATTACACACTCGACGCTTCGTGTCTCGTGTCTAATTCAGCCGGTTCCAGGCTTCGTGACATAAAATTTTGTTCAGTACTTGTTGGGAAATTTCGTCCTTAACGTGTGTGGTTACATCACTCGCCTTCGGCTCATGCTGTAAACCCCACACACGTTAAAGACGAAATTGCCCCACATGTACTGAAATATACTATTCCGTCCCGGCGGGCGCAAAGGTACATTTCCCTCCCGCTTCGCGGGAGGGAACTCTGACTTTGCGCCTACGCCGAGATGGAAAATCGCGTTCTAACCACGGGAAGTAAAATAAAGAACCCTCAGCCGCGTGCTTACCAACCTCGCCTTCGGCTCGGCTGGTAATTGCACTGGCGGCTGAGGATCCTTTATTTTCCCTCCCTAGGTTATAATAGTATATTTCAGCACGTGTGGGGCAATATCGTCTTTAACGTGTGTGGGGTTTACAGCATGAGCCGAAGGCGAGTGATGTAACCACACACGTTAAGGACGAAATTTCCCAACAAGTACTGAACAAAATTTTATGTCACGAAGCCTGAAACCGGCTGAATTAGACACGAGACGCGAAGCGTCGAGTGGCATAAATATACTATTACCATTCGTGGTTCCAACCGTATTTTTCGTCTAGGCGTAGGCGCAAAGTCAGCGCAAAGTCCTTCCCGCACGGAGAGAAATGTTCAGTAAAAATTACGGAACTCCTACTTCACTCACCGATTACGGAATCGACTCAGAAAATTTAAGTGACGGTATCGTAATTTTTCACGAGAGATTCCGATAAAAATTACGGAACGCTCCGGAAAAATTCCGTGACAGTTCCGTAAAATTGCCTACAACCACATTTCGCTCCGGAATTAGGGAAAAGATACGTAATTTTTATTGAATATTTCTCCCCGTGCGTGAAACGGGAAGGAAATGTGTACTTTACGCCCGTCGCGGCAAAAACAAAATCATTCAAGTTTGCCATGCGACTAAAAGGAAATGACCGAAAATGATCAAATTAATTTTATCCACAGTCCACCGCCAAACGTCAAATATTGCATTTCTATTGGCTGACATTCAGATGGGGAAATAACCAGTAAAATGTTAAACTCAACGTCGTTTTCCTGAAAATTACTATGAAACTGATCATAAAATTTCAATGTTTTCTAACAGGGCGATGGCTGCTATTTGTGGGGCTAATGGGAGTTTAATTCAGTAGCGCAGCGGTAAAACGATTCAAGTCTACTTAGCTCGCAGCTGAGTTTTCGAGGAATATCTTCAAATCTAAGAGCCAATTTTCCGTAATGATCTTTCTTGTAGAGCAATTTGAGGGTTACAAAAAACGTTATGACAAATATTTTGCTGTCTTAGGCTCCTAGTTGTTCATTGGAAACAGACTAATAGTCAAAGCCCACTTGAACGATTTTACCGCTTCGCTACTGAATTCATGGAACAATTTCTGAGACATTAATTTTTTGCGAAGATTTATACTTCAAAAACTATTATTCAAGGAATAATTGTCGAATTCGCTTCGTTCCTGGTGAGACGTTGGACAACTTCGATATTCCGTCCTTAGATACATCCATAAGAAATATTACGGATATTCAAGTATCTTTTACAGTTTGGTACAGACCACACTATAGATTCATCCATTTTTAATCATCAATTTTGTCAGATAAATTGCGAAAAATGTGAAAAAAATCATTCATTGTTTATAAACAAAAAAAATAATTGAAATTGTTTAAACTTTCGGAAACCTAATTTTTTAGGCATGAAATCGATTTCTGATAAAATACTGAATATCAATAAATTTGTTACGATTCCGAACAAATGATTTTTCTGGTTGGAAATTGATTGTTTATAAATAATTTATAAAAAATGCTCGTAATTTTAAAAAATCGCACTTTTCAAATTATTTAATCAATTTTCCTTCAAAAGTAAACTTTTAAATTTTTCCTGTTTTTTTAATTCTTTTCTAACGGTTCAAAATCAAGATTCAAATTCAGACTTGCAAAGTTTGAATAATAAAATCACTTTAAAATGTCCGAAAATTCAGGATCAAATGGGGCTCAAATGAAAGCTCTGCTGTTCGCCTACAAAAGTAGAAAAGCATTTCCCTGGAGAAAAAAATCGCCAAAGTACTTGGATCTCCTCAAACAATTGTCTTTTAAAAATGACAATGTAGGTGAATCATGGGAAAAATATTATGACCACAAATAATATCCATTGAGAAGCAAAATGCTAATCCATCAGCAGCAAAAACCATCCAACTATCAAAACTCAGCAATTACCCACTTGTTAGTCCCTGAAAAATGCCTCTGCAAAATAGAAGTGAATGCGGAAGTTGGCAATATGGGACGAAATATGAGGGGCATAATAAGTGCGCATAATAAATGGATCTATATCGATGAGCGGCATTTAGACACGTTAAATTTATGAGCTGCACTGTTTCTACGCCCAAGGCTAGTCCCTCAGCGCTCAACACCCAACGGCTATTCACCTACAATTACTCTCATTTGCATATCGGAGTAAACGCGTTTGATAGAAAAACAATTCATAATAGAAGATTGTAGTGCAAATAAAAAATACTTGAAAAATTATTCATAAAGTACAAGTACCCTCTGAGTACCTAATTTATCCATGCCTCGCGATGATAAAGCATTGCGTAATGGATAGTTTTCTGGGGCCTCCGAGAGAGTGCCGCGCAAACGCTCGAGATCCGAGATAAAAGACACGATGCGAGAGAGTTCCCTCCTGGGAAAGTTATAAATCAGAGGGCTGTCTGTGCGCGTTGGGCCTCACCACGAGGCGGCGCACAACACCGTCGGGTGGATACCCAAGGCGTTACAAAAACCCGGTATATTAATTTACCGTTAGATAATACCGTTATGATAAGCCCACTCCTCGGTCCCTTTTTTTAAAATTATTTTAAGGCTAATTCGTTACATCGTCGTTTGATTTTAATTATAATGAATTGATGGCAGGATTATTATGTGAATTCTTTATGTGTGTCACACAACACCTGGGACACTTCGATAAAATTAACGGAGAGAGGTTCACATTCGAGATATGTAGATTTATGCATAAATAATTTTTTGAGTGACAGAGTGACAAATCGAGGGTTCAAGTGGAATTGACTAACCGGTGAGCACTGAAATGTGGACCGGAAATTTATGGATTTGGAATTAATTCTGAGTGGTGAGAAAAAAAAATCGAAACTGGAATAGATATCGTTGAATATTCTGGGTCTAATGGAGATTGTATCGGGGGTGATCTTCATATTTACTTCGTGATTGATATATTTACCTTCGTAAAACACCACCGAGTAGGCTAGCATTGAGACACTCCGGCGGTGACAGCCGTCTCTGTACCTCGGCGACCGTGACTTTGTACTTGCTGGTGCTGCTTAATAACGACAGTCTTCCTGGTACGGAACAGAAGACATCAGATGGCTGAGTATTACCCGATAGCATTCCCTTCTCACCCCGGTCTGACTGTTTCATATCTGTAAATAAATCAAATGAAATTGTTATTGCGCTGAAGTTTAGTTATTTGGGATGATGACCACCCCCTAAATTGCCTAATTTTGTCACTTGCACTGAGAGAAAAATCTGAAGTTCGATTTACAATGAGAAAATAGTTGAGGCAGTTTTGGTGAACGATACGATTTTTTTTTGTATGCGGCACATAACATTATAGTAACTTCACAAGCGTAATTTTTGCAAATCAAAATGCAGTTAAACTAACCAAAGTTCAAAAGTAACCACGACAAATCTATCGTGAGTAGAACTATAAAATAGTTGCAATGACTACATTCCATTGTAGTAATTACTTCTCCGGCCATGGTTCCCGTAACCCATGAAAAATTGTTGAGGACTTTTTGACTATAATTCGATGGTGATGGAATATAGTCAGAAGAATCATATTTTTCTTTCAGTGTGTCTCATATGGAAATCCGTTTTTTTAGGTTTACGGGGGTTTTCACTTATTCGCTACATTTGTTCCCCCGAAAAACAAATTTGATTCTCATCGTTTCTCACGGTGAAAATATCGGAATGATTAGATGATGACTTTGAGAAACGGAATGGATTTATTTACAAGAGATGGATTAATTAACGGCGGATGTTCGATGGGTGAATTCTGAATTTAGAATGACTTTAGATTAATTGAATAACAAGACAAAGTGTACACACTTATATTTATTGCAGAAAGAGGAAAGGGAATTTGTGTATAAAGTAGTCAATTTTGTTACGATAAGAGAAAATTTTAGTTTTTTGTTTTTTAAGTTGGCTTTATCATTTTCGAATTACATTGGTAAACATTTTGGCGTGCAATTTTTGGTACGCGTCTTGTAAATTTTTATCACATTATAGTTCCACCGGAAATTTGAGGAAATTTGCCATTGCAAATTCAAAGGAAAATCCAGATAAATACATTCTTGAATTTTGAACTAATTGCAAGTTGGGGAAGTTTTGTCATCCTGCTGCTCAAAAATTTATAATTTCATTGACTTGGAGAATTTTTGTTCCGTTTATTGCTTTCGCTTTGATTTATCAATTTTTCATTGTTTCCAATATTTTCATGATGCGTTCAATGGATTCTAAAATGGGTGTATACCTTTGTTCTTTGGAGATTAACGAATATTAAGAAAAAAAATAATCAATCGGATGAAGACTGATGCACTTGAACGATTTTAAAGATAAAAATGGAAAAAAAACCTATTTGCCCCTAAGTTTCCGGACATTTCACAATGATTTTATTATTTAAACTTTGCAGGTCTGAATTCGAATCTCGATAATGAACATCTAGAAAACATTGTAAAAATGGGGAAAAAAATTGAAAGTTCGCTTTTGGACAAAAATTTATGAAATAATGAAAAATTGCAATTTTTGAAAATTACGAACATTTTCTATAAATAATTTCACAATCACAATTCTAAAAGTTCATATAGACCCACGGGTTCCGTTTCACCTTAAGCAGAATTTATCTGAATAAAAAACAACGGCTTCAACACAAGAAAACATGTCCTACAAAAAAACCATTGAATACTTTTCATATCTCAGTGAATTCCCCTGAAAACTCCGGGAAGAATATTCCCTTTCAATACCACCAAACCCCACGGAATTACACTGGTATTGTGCATCGATAGTCGAAGCGATATTGCATCGTCGAGTGCCCAAGGAATGCTTAATATCGAAAGAGCGGGCCCACGGTCAAAGCATGTTATTACGCAGTATCGTGAAACGACGGTGAGCTGGACCGACTTAAAAACTCCTTCTACATATTCCGTCCATCACGAGATATATATTCGTCGGAGGTCCGCCCGCGGGTAGTCCGCATTATTCGCTGTTGCCCGTAAAATTCCGCACAACCAGATAAAACAACATAAATAGATAAATATTTAAAATAATTCCAATGATTCAGCATTTCTGATTGAATCAGAATACATCCGAAAGCTCATACGATATAAATGATTCGTTTCGCAACAATTTACCTGGCACAGTGAACTATACGAACGCGATAGGTAACAATCCCCCGAGGCGGATACCCCTGGGCCAAGCACGCGCGCAATTTTCTCTCTATTTTTTATCAACTTTTTTTTATTAATTAATTACGGAGCAATCGATCTTGAGGGGGAATGCGTTATTCATACATCCTCTTGTTTCTTCACTTTCTCTCTAAAATTTAATTAATTTAATTTCCCCAATTTTTCTTTATAAAACTGCAAACAGGTGTGAAAGAGGGAGATAATTGGTACAAGACGAGCACTCGTATGCCCTCCGGTGATTTTCATTCACTTAATAGATATCATTTAACGAAATCAGAGAGGTGAGAGAGATAGAATGTCGCAGAGGTGCGGAGGGGGCATTTAAAAGAGGGTAAGAAGACGTACGAGAGGATGGGAGGGGCAAGCGGAGCTTCACTGCAGCTCAGTAGCTATTAGTGATTGCTGTAATTTTCATTCCATCAAGCGCTGGCGGAAACGTTGCGCGCCAGGCGTATCAAACGGTACAACGCACCCCGGGATATATAAACACAATCTTGTGAATGAAGAGCGCCTCTTTCCACTTACTCATTCGTGTTTTATAATCATTGAGTTAATACGGCAACTGCTCGACTTGGCATTAACCACATTTTTCATAATGTAATTTCGGTTTTTTCGAACGCTTAGGGAGGGGAAGACGCTCGCGGAGACTAATCGACCGGATGTGAGCGGATAGTCCTTTCCTAATGTATTGAGAAATTGTAATTAATTGTGGGGAATGATGAACGGAGATGGGAAACAATTCTGAGGTTGAGAATATTGATATTAATTAATTGAAGATTGATTTTTGTCGTTTGGAAAGTCGACGAGATTGATGGTCGTGTCATTCGAAAGATAGGGAAATTTCATGCCCAATTAGAAGGAGATAACTCATTTTTTTTGTCAGATTTTTTTGAGTTGAAGACAAAATATTTTTTCGTTGGTGAAATCAACTGTCTTGAGACCCCGGAGACGTGTCCCCTCGATACTCCTCATGAAATAGGGTTTTTTGCTTTGATAATTAAATTTTTCCCTACGCAACATATTCTGTTTCTCCATACTCCTTAAACGCCACAAAAAATCGCAATCTTTATGCAAAATACATCTAATAGCCTTCGAACTGAAGCTGTACTAACTATTCTTAAGTCCAAGCTCATTGTGATACTGTTACTCGATGTACTTGATTGTTATATATGTTAATAAAGACATTTCAAATGTTAAATGTCCTGAGGTGTATTCCAAGATAACACCCAAAAGTTTGTGCTGATGAATATCCGGAAAAAAATCTAAATGACTTAATTTATTGCATTTTCATCAGTTATTGAGTTTTTCTATTCTTATAGGGTGTTGACTGCTTGAATCAAATGAATATTGATATTAATTAATTGAAGATCGTCGTCTGGTCATTTGGGAAGTCGACGAGAGTGATGGTCGTGTCATTCGAAAGATAGGGAAAGTTCATGCCCAATTAGAAGGAGATAACTCATTTTTTTTGTCAGATTTTTTTGAGTTGAAGACAAAATACTTTTTCGTTGGTGAAATTAACTGTCTTAACTTGTATCCCAAGACAATAACGCCTAAAAGTCTCTAACCTTGTGTTAAGTCTCTATGGATTTCCAGAAGAAAATCTAAACGACTTAATTTATCGCAGTTTCATAATTTATTGAGTTTTTCTGTTCTCATATGGTGCTGATGCAGGCAACAATGATTGTTTGAATCAAATAAGAAATTGTTCGTTAATTACACTGTTAGAAAATTACTCATGAAATTTCAAGTGATAAAGTGGAAATTTTCAACGACAAAGTTACGTGAAATTTCTTCACTGACGAATTAGTTAATTTCTTGAATATTCAAGTAATTCTCGATTTCCAGATCCGTGCGACATTGAAAAATGTCGACAATTAGAAAAGTTCGGGCAAAAACTTTCCTGAATTCTCAATCTATTAAACATTCGATTGCATATGATGTTTAATTTTCACAATGAGTTTGAAAGTTCGAGCTTGCATTTTCATTTTAAAAAAATTTCAGGAACAGTTTAATAGTGATTTTTAGAAAAACGATTTAATATAATTTAGGAGGATAACAATAATGAAACTGCAAGATTCACTGAAAATTCAATGGAATTCTAAATTTTTTAAGCAGCAGGAAGACGAGTATTCCCGAACTTACTTGAATTTTCAATCAAAACTTAAATATTAAGAGCTAAATGACGCTGAATTGTTAAGTAATTCAACAATAAAAGAATATATTCACCTAAATTTTCCTGATTTCTATTAATTTTGATGAAATAATTGAGCTGAAATTTATAGTTTTCATTGATGTTTATATCAGACTACGCTATCTAATGCGGACCTATACCTACAGCTATAGAAATAATTACAAATATAAATATACTGATTTATAAATTTATAAATGTATCTACAAAAATTAGCTATAGTTATAAATTATTTTAGTTACGGCTATAGTAATACCTGTGAATTGAGTTAAATTATCGCTAAATAGATCGGTGACAGAAAACGTTAAATAGATTTTTTTAAATCGATTGTGACTTTTAATTCAATTACGAAATTCCATGAAATTCCAATTTTTTTAACAGTGTTGGATGACCCAGCCTGACTCACGAAATGAAATTCTCCTGTCTTCTTGATAACATCAGCTGACACCTTCATATTCTCCACATTTAAAAATGAGAAAGATTAACGCTATCGATCCAATGTTCAATTACAATCGAATTAATAGGATTAACAATATTTTAAATTCAAGTAATTTTTTTCTCTTCGAACGAATGTTTTCTTTATCGTTTTCTGGGAGTGTCCTCTGACCCCGATGATGTATTCCCATTTTTTTAGCGAAAGGAGAGGCGTGCATCGGTGGTGGAATTACACCAGAAGCCCCAAAGAGAACCACAGCCCGATGTGTGTATGACCCGTTAAACTTTCACGACACCCAGGCATATAACATCAGAGAGTCCTGCGTGATCG